GATGTGTAAAAAAAAAGCTCAACATGGTTAATTTCACAAACTTTGTCTTTTAAAGGTACAACGAGGTTTGCACTTACAACTGGGGCAAAGGCGGTTATGAGCCACAAGCTGCTCACTTCATGCAAGTCGTTTGGAAAAATAGCACAGAATTTGGAATCGGAAAAGCGGAAGGACGGAGAAATGGTCGACGTTACACCTTCATAGTGGCGCGTTACAAGCCAGCCATCAGATACGACACTATGGAAAACGTGCTGAAGGGCAAGTTTAATCCATCCTATTGTAAACCGAAGCCTACCTTTTCACTGTCAGATGGAAATCAAAGCAGGCCTAGATCAAAAGTGCGACCAATCTTTGTGGCTCGTTTTCCAAAACAACCCGTTTATGCTCACAAGAAGCCAGCGATTTTACATAAATCATATTCCTTGAATAGGAGCAGGATTAATCAAAAGGAAATGGTAAACCGGTCGGCAGGTTCGTATGACTCAAGCAATGCCAAGTACAATGAGAGATACTTAAAGGCTGTAGGCAAAGCAACTCACTACGCGCAAGGTCACCTGAACGATAAACTAAGCTATTACGCCGGAAACTCCTGGAGCGCAAACACCGAAAACCGATCGTCCACGACAGCGTCCGAGTATTTCCCGAAGCAAGCCGAAGTTCTAGAGGAGTTCTTTGAGGGAGACGACCCAGATAAAGAAAAATATTATCAAGGAAATGGAAAATATGGAACTGTAGAAAGCATGAGGCATAGTCTCATACCCGTTATGAACAGTGAGGATGCCGAGATTGACGATGACCCATCTGAAGAAGAACAATCAACAAAAAGGCTGCCACCAAAACAATCTTAGAAGAATTTGCCAGTTGCACTCGAGCAATGTATTTATAACACCTTGGAAAATAAGGCACTAGATATAGAGGTGCAATAAATCACTTAAACTCATAAAGGTTTTTTCTTCTTTTTTAATCAACCCACAAATCTTTCCTCAGGGAAACCCCTTTTTAAATTCCAGCCATAAACACAACTGTGCTTTGAGCTATCCAATCTACTGAATGCCAGACTGGATATTCATTCCCTCCCATTTAAAAAACGCGCTCGAAAAGTAAGATACGCACATTTTTTGGTAAAGAACCAAAACCATCTTATCAACTTTCCAACTTACCATCTTACTAACTTACCATCCCTCTTATTCTATTGTTTGGTATGTCTGCATCTTTTCTATCAAGTCATATCACTTAGATATATTTGTTTTGCTATAACTACATTAACCAACTTTTTTCATTTTTTTCTGAGCCTTGACACCCTTAGTTGGAAAATTTTTGCCAAGGCTCTCGAAAGTGGGCATCATGTCGATCGAAATTCACCAAATTCCCCTGAGGTCCAGTTAAAGTGTCTCATTTGACTCAAGTTATTTGGTGGAAAACTTACAGTTACATTCCTTACATTTACAGTCTTAATTCCTTATTTTCAGCTACGTTCCTTCGCTTTCAGTGAAAATTATCTTTTTTAAACAAGGTTATAAAATGGTTCAGTGACAAGGAGTCAAAACTCCTGCAGCAAACCTCGGTATAGTTGAAAATTAATACAAATACCAGGAAAGCAAAAACGGTCGAACCATATGACATTAGGTCTAAAGAAAATATTGGGACTATCATTTTCTCTTGATTAGGCGATAGCTATCATTTTTTTTGTGTAAGGTACAGAAGCTTGAAACGAAGTGCGCGCACAGCGAACCATTTTCAGAGATAGCAGAAAGAGACAAAGGATTCCTAGCTGTTTCATTAAGCATATTTAATGAAGAAGTTGATTGTCTGTAATGATGCCAAGCAAAGATGGACTGTCACAGAAATGATATTGAATACTTAGGGAAAAAAATGAAAAGTATCAAAGAAAGAAAAGAAAAAGGAAAAATTTATTTACCAAAAACAGCGCTTCAGCCGTTATATCAAGGACTTTCAAGTCTTGAAATCATTTCAGTGCTCTCTAAGTTAAAAGCAGTGGATTACTTCATAGGCGTTACGAAATACTTGAAGCGTTACTTAGTATGTTTAAGATACCAGAAAAAAAGATCAGATTATATCAGCTTTTGTTTTACGAATAAGGTAGGGGAAGGGTGGAAAATTGTCAGTCAAGGGTACTCTTTTTGTTGATAGCCGAAAGATTTGAAGAGGACCTATTTTAAGTAAGTATATTCAAATAAGAAGTTAATTACCTCGACAGCAGAAAGGTAAGACAGAGCTAGAGCTGATGAAAGCCCAAGGCCGGTGTTAAAACGTAAATGAACAATTTAAAAGAAAGAGCGCTTTCAAAGAAGAAAGCATTTAAAAATTTTTCAAACTAAAACCTTAGAACTACTTGACCTGTCTCCTTTTTTACAGATTATGGCAGAGTTTAAAAAATTGCTCCATTTTCGGTATATAGTAAAGGCTAGGCTAGTCAGCATTTTCAAGGTTAATTTTTAAGACTTCGGTCACGAACTTAAGCCGTTCATGTAGTGACAACTCTGATTTTTCAGAAAAATCAGAGGTCATGTGCCAGTTTTTCGATAAACGTGGCTATCCTGTTTCTGTCGTTCAAGCGGACCACCACCGTGCCCAACAAATTGATCGATAGGGAAAACACCGATCACATTCCATTCACTCTCACATTTCACCCTCGCAACCACGCAGTTAAATCTATCATTCTAAAGAACCGAGGACACCTTCGCGACATAGAGAGAAATGACAAGGACGCATCCAAACAAGTCGCTAGACACTTTAATCTCCCTTACCATTCTAAGCAGCATTTAGTAGTTTTCGGCCTTTCCCTAAATCAATGCTATTCGGAAAGCCGCAAAACTCTACGTAAAAAATTTATCTTTCAAATTGGCACTCTTAATCCCCACGGTATTAACGAGTGCTTTTCATTCAACTAATTTATTCTTGTTTTCTCGTCACCATAATCCCACCACTAGCGCAGCTCTAGACACACACAATTTTACAGTAGTTCTGACGAAGGGCTAACCGGCGCTCAAAATGTCAGCTTTGAAACTTTTAAAGGTGGCCAATTTACGTTATCGACTCAGTTGATGATACTAAATTACCCTGTTATACTCTCCCACTGACGCAGAACCAGTTTCTTAAGAAACTTACCCCCTTTTTTCAGATAAAGACTTATCAATTGATGAGGTTTCGAAAGACTTATCAATAGATGAGGTGTCGTAGACTCTTCTTTTAAACGAGACACGAATGATCTCATGTTGCTCTTTACCGATTAACTAGCATGATTACACTTCTAACCTTAGACTATCTCCTACCCACGACATCTTTTCTATTCGACTGCTCACCTAGGGTGGGAGTGTTAATACTGTGCAATCCCTTTCATTCCTTCCCTTCAAAAAATACAAAGTTTTCAATCCAAGTCAGATTTGAAGTGGTAAGACACGTGATAAAGAGACAGGAGACTGGGAAGTACTGTAACAATTCTTCAAGAGAGGAAAATGTGGGTGGGTTACACGTGAGGAGTTTCTATGGGTCTACTAATCAGTTCACACGAGAAAAGTACAATAAAGTCAAGTGATTCACATCGCCTGACAATAATTTTTTTTCAGTTCTCTTAAAATAACACACCATTCCCGCACTTCACTAAGATTACAGGTTATATAAATATGATTATAAAAATCCATCCGGAGCTCGCAGAGCGTAGCGCCATAATTATACAAAATAGTAGTAACCCATCAAGCCGAAAAAATTTGGATGTACGACCGTACGACCGTTCAAGGTGCTACTTTTAACATGCGCGGTCAACTGTACCGCGGGCACGCCAACGCCACGGCTTTGTCCACTAGTCCAGTGGTTAGTGCACTGGGCTCCGAGTCGGACGATCCGGGTTCTAGTCCTGGCCGGGGCAAGACGTTGTGCCCTTGAGACGTGCGGGAAAAGAAATGTGAGCTCCACTTTTAGGCTCGGCTAAATCTATGTATTACGAGTGACCTGATTCGTCAAAAACCTTTCATTTATAAAGGGGTAAGTTTCTAAAGAAACTGTGGTGCTGCGTCGGTGGGAGAGTATAGCAGGTAATTTAGTGTTAACAACTGGATTGAAAACGTAAATTAGCCACGGTAAAGGGTAAAAAAGCTGACGTTTCGAGGGTTAGCCCTTCGTCAGAGCGATTGACGAAGGGCTAACGCTCGAAACGTCAGCTTTTTTACCCTTTACGGTGGCTAATTTACGTTTTCAACCCAGTTGTTAACACTAAATTACCTGCTTTCATTTATAACTTTGATAAACCCATAGAAAATTGATATATTTTGAGTTATCTTAAAAAGGCATTAACCCGCGCTCTTTCGATTAGTTTACCGGCGTAATGACACATTTGGAATGCTGGGAGAACACGAGAAAAGTTCGTAAATTGCTTGCCGGAGGCGAGTGATTTTAAAACACTTCGAGTGTTCTCCCAACATCCTGTATGGGTTATTACCCAGGTAAATTGATGGAAAGAGCGGTCTATTGTTTTAATAGTCTTCGAAAGTTGTTTTTAGTAGTTTTTCGAGAAAAAAAAGGCAATCAATAGGTTTACAAAAGAACTGTCGCCAGTCAGCTGATAGATGACACCCCTAAAACATTTACGAAGAAGTTGCTCAGAAACCATTTCAACAAATTGCTTGATGAAGACGGCTATTAAATTGGCTTGGTTAACTTTAAAAAATCAGATGAAATCTTTCTTTGATTCATGTGTGATCTCAGTATTAACTGATTACCAAATACAGTACAAAACGAAAGAGTTTCTAAAAATGTGGGTTTTCACTCAAAATTTACATTTGAAATTATTAACGTTTCAGATTACGTCAAAGTGTAAAGGTCACCTTGCCACTCTAAAACTTACCAAAACGCAAAAAGCTGACTTTTCAATCGTTACAAAGAAACAGGTAATTGTCCAGAATAAGCCAATAACCTTTCTTCATGGTAAACTGAGGAATACAGTTATTGACCCAAGGACATTATTTCATTTTACTACTTGACAAAGCAAACATCATCCATCACCTCTGGCACAATCCGTCTCCAAAACTCGACAAGCTTTTGGTAAGAGATTTGAAGAACGTTAATGTTGTTTTAACATTGGACACATTCACCTCATTTCTTTTTACCTGTGTTTAAGATAAAATCATAACTGGTTAAAAATGATGTGAAATATATGAAACATATCTAAGATGTAACTGGTCAGTGTTTCCTAACGAATCGAATGCGAGATGTGTAGTAATATCTGCAGAAAAAATTCAAGTTTTAAACTTTGATTTTTAAAAAACAGAAAGAACTTAAAAACGGAAAAACTTCGGGAATGTTTAACGAATATACTCTAAAATCAGTTAATTAACTAGTTACCGTTGTCATCTGTTGAGACCGTGGAGACCTTTGGTTTTTTTCTGTTTGTTTGTTTATCGGTTGGTTTGGAAGTTTTAGACATCACTTGCCAGAGATTAACTTGTTAATTTTTGGTATTTCTCCAGCAGGGATACATGATAAAAAATTTCAAACATTAATACTAGTACGGAGTCATTTCTCGATTCATTCAAATTGAAAACTACCAGAATAAGAATTTCACGTTAGTGATTTGATTATCTAAAACAGATCTTCAATATAAGATATCTCCTTTTCATCTTTTCTTTACTTTTTTTTCCTGCAGGATTTCCTTTAGAGAATGTGGCTTTGTTATCTCTTGCTTGCCATTGTAGCAGTCGATGGAGGTAAAGGAGATTCCTTTTTGATTAATGAAGTTTAAATTTGGCTATTTTCTTTTATGTAACTAATCGATTTTTAACTATACCGCATGTCAATTACAACGCGGTCGAAAGGGGCGTCTCAGAGGACGATAATATGTTGACGATAATATGTCAGTCCGCTGCAAGGGGGGTAGTTTTATTTATCGGAAACAAAATAAAGTAGGAAATCTATAGGAGAGGTTACTAAAACAAAATCTAAATAAGGCTACAGTTTTAGAAAACCAATAGATCCGGAAATATTTTGAGGCCGTTGCTCGAGATAAAAATATATTTTCCAGTCTTATCAATAAGCCTTCCTGATTTTCTTGTCGCAGATGTATTCCAGAATTCTCAAAATTTTAAGCTTTCTGGTTCTGGAACAGCGGAGAAAAATGGAAAAATCAATTTAAACCTTCAAATTCAGATCGCAGGAACTGGGGAGAGTCCGATAGGAGGTCTAACGGGGGCGAGTCCGACAACAAGTCCAACGGGAGCCTCGGGAGTTCCGGGAGCAGCTCCAATTACTGGGGCACCAACAGCAGGAACAGGGGGAAGTATGCTACATCAATGCTTAGTTCTGACCTTCAAGTCTTCTTTCATTTCATTTCTTAATAATAGAACTACTTGGAGCAGGGGGAAGTATGTTACATCAATGCTTAGTTTCGACGTTGAAATCGTCTTTCATTTCATTGCCGTATAGCAGAAATGCCAGGCGTAGGGGGAGGCATGCTACATCAATGCTTAGTTTCGACTTTAAAATCTTCTTTCATTTCATTTCTGTATAGCAGAAATTCCGGGAGCAGGGGAAGGTATGCTACATCAGTGCTTAGTTCTGACCTTAAAACCCTCTTTCATTTCTCTTCTGTAGAATAGAACTACCGGGAGCAGGGGGAAGTATGCCGCATGAATGCTCACTTGGACCTTAAAACCTTCTTTCATTTTCTTTCTGTAGTTAATGAAAACTGGACATACTTCATTTACTTAACATGATCTAACAAGGCGAAATTTTGTATGAGATAACATCTCACAACATAGCACGACAAACATACTATACGATATTTTATCCTAGATGTGACTTGTCAAAGCAGTTTCAGGCTACATCGCAATCTCAGCCTCAGACTGCACAACTGGGAGAGCTGAGTCCTTCTCTTGAATAGCAGAATTAGAAATTGTTTCTATCAGTTGTCCTCATGTTAACATTTGTTGCTCAGGGGCAAGTTTACGCGAGCTTGAGAATAAAACCATACGACCTAATTTAAAATGTTCTACTTATAAAAAGGGCGACAAATGCTTTTGCATGGCCCTTCACTGGGTATAGCATCGATTCTTTCTTAACAAACATCTCTCTCTCTCTCTCTCTCTCTCTCTCTCTCTCTCTCTCTCTCTCTCTCTCTTCCAAGCTGAAACGTCTGCCCAATGCCAACCCCCGCTGCTAGTTTTGTTCAGTTATATTTATAAATCTTAACTCTCCTTTTGAAGAAGACCCTTCAAGGTGTCCTTTGATAATGATTCCAAAGGTATAAGCCTTTAAAAACAAATGACTATTTGCCCTCACTTTGCCTATTTTCTTTCAGTGTTTACTGAGGAAGAACAAATGGGTTTAGCAAAGCACAATGAATTCCGACAAGTACATGAAGCTCCTGCTATGACACTGGACAGAGATATGTGTGATCAGGCGAAACAGTACGCTCAGAAGCTTGTAGATATGGGTACTCTACAGCATTCGTCGAAAGGAGAGAGAGAAGGGCAGGGAGAGAATCTTTCCATGGGATGTTCATCAAACGCTCCACAAACCGTAGAGGAAGCCGTGACAAATTGGTGAGGTTAAATTTCGCTTTCTTGTAGCGCAGAAATTCGATTAGGTGTAGTATTCAACTTTGGCCTTTGAGAATAGGCTCACGAGGCTACCCAACACAATGATGTCATTTCTTTTACAGTTGTATACTTAGTTGCTAAGCTTTTGATTTGCAGTGAGGCTGAAAGTGACCTTGTTGTGATAGAGAGCAGTATCTAGTCAGATTGATAACAAAGTAATTTACTTTCGAAAAGCAGCAAGGTTTGTATCATAACCAGGTTACCCTTAGCCTCACTCCTCTTCGAAGGCTCGGCAACCAAACACGCAACTGTGAAAGGGACTATTTACTCCCAAACCTCGCTTTCACTACATTCTTCCCGAGTCTTTGCTAAGTTCTTATCGTTCGCTTGTGGGTGTTCCTTTGATTTTTGGTCCTACTCCCCATAAATAGAGAAAGTAACGATGATGGTAATCAGTTATTTTTTATTTCAGTGTTTTGGGAATATTTTTATTTTTGAATTACATTTCACCAGTTCGCGCCTTGAGAGTGAGGCGTAGAGGGTGGAATTGGATATTGCACCGTAAAAATGCATTAGGCCTACTTCCACTAATCTAGTTAAAATTCTTTTCTTAGAAATAAGGTGTAGTAACCCTGACTATTTCTGAATGATCTGATTCGAAATACTAAGGAGCAACCATCCTTCCAAACAAGACATCTGAAACAGATATCGAATATATTTGGCACTCTGCAATAGCGGCCCGCACACAACCCAAGCGGTCCATACCACTGACGTTCAATCCAGTCTTTTTATGTAGCCCTCATTGGTGCCACTTCATGTTGCGGTTAATAACCTTGTTATATGCTTACGGGAATCGATCGTGACATCTTCATTAGTTAGAAAAGCATCGCCGAAATCAAAACCTTTCTGGCACACTTCCTTTTCTTGAGTAACCAGGACAGAATTTCCCATAACAGATTTAAGCAGAAAACTCATGAGAGTAAATTAGTAGGGGATTATTAAGTGATCCAACACCAAATTCCCACAACAAACAGGAGAATAGTCGAGCCAAAAGTCGACCCAAAACATCAATGGTGATGCTAAACTCGCCAGATGAGCTGCCTTAGCACGAATTTAGTGCCCGAATAAAGCACGGAATCTATTGAAATCTTCAGTCGGTACAGGTTCCATGAAAAAACCGGTCACGAAAATGATACGAGCTAACAAACGGCGTAAAGAGGGTGGTGAAATATATGTGAAACCCATGTCTACAAAACTATTATAGATATTAGAAAACTTGACGCAGGGGTGGAATTGCTTGAATTAAAACTGTGAGGGCAATTTTACGAAATCGGAACACCTAAGGTTGCTAATGATGAACGATACTCTCCGCCGTGTGTTTCGTGATGTGTGAAGCCAAAGCAGTCAATTAATGTTATGACAGCTGATTTTTCTTTTGCTCTATTTTTGTGTTCTCTCTCTTTAGTCTCATTGTTTTCCAGGTACAACGAGGTCTGTGATCCGGGATATAATTTTGGCAGGGCTTCCTTCTCTGGTGGAACAGGCCATTTTACACAGGTAGTTTGGAAAGGCAGTACAGTTCTTGGAATCGGACGGGCAGAGGGTACAATGCGAGGAATGAAATGTGCATATATTGTGGGCAGATATAAACCAGCTGGAAACATGATGGGGGACTTTGCCCAAAATGTGGTGAAAGGTTCCTTTGATAAAGGCAGCTACTGTGCATCAATTCCAAGAAAAAATCGATGGTTCTTTGACAAGAATGGGAAAGCAGTGAAGGTGAATGGAACCAAAGTTCCGACTTTCAAAACGGGACTAGCTGAGAGTCATGCCCAGCCGGTTGAGTTATTGAATAGCAAGAAGAAAACAACTGTTTCGCACAAGCACAATAAATGAGTCTCTCTGTGAAAAAAAAATCCAAAAAAAAAAAAAAAAAAAAATATATATATATATATATATATAAATTGATATTTAGTAATAGCCATGATTATTAAACAGTTGATTAAAAGATAGGACCACCAAACACCGCTGTCTCACTCTGTTCATTTCAGTTGCTTAATGTAATCTTTTAAAAACTCCAACATTCAGAAATGTGGCCGAGTTTATCTTTTAAAAACCTGGAAATATAAGCAAACTGTTGGTGGGAAGGTTTGAAGTCTACATTTTTACCAAGATGTGGGTTTTTCGCACCGCACCGGAAACGTTATCAAACTTCATTTCCGGATGTTCTGATTGGTTCATTCAACTCTGGTTATCAGTTCGTATTCGAGTCACCTCTTATGGGAATGAACAAAGGGGGTAGCTGCGTCCGTGGGAGAGTATAGCAGGTAATTTAATGTTAACAACTGAGTTGAAAACGTAAATTGGCCACCGTAAAGGGTAAAAAAGCTGACGTTTCGAGCGTTAGCCCTTCGTCAGAGCGATTGGGACTTTTGTGAACATATTCAAATGTTCAGGTATTAATGAAATTTGATGAAACGATGTCTTCATTCGCGCTTGTTGGATACAAGATTGCTTATAGTCAACGTGGCTCTACGCGCCTCGTTTGCTATCCAACGTCTCATATCCAACTCGCGCTCATAGAATAGAATAATTGTTCGTTATTTTTTTCTCAGAGGTGTATTTATATTATATAAAAAGTACCTAGAAAGTTAAAACGTGAGGTATTTGGTTACAATTGAATTAATCGATGGAACTTTCATTCGTTAAATATCTGAATTCTCTCCAACAATTTGCTCGTAGTGAAAGGGCGAGAGAAGTTTATAGTTCTAGTGCAGATACATTTTCTATAAGTCTTTCCAAGTCGGTTCAATTTGGACATTTGTTCTGTAAATTGCACAAAAAAAAAGGAATTCAATGAGAAAAAGCCCCATTAAATCCCCTTGTGTCTCATTGAAGTGTCTCATTCGAATTAAATTTTAGTGAAAGACCAGATTTACACACGTCATTGCAGTAAACAAACGAGCGAACTCTCACAACTTCAGAGTAAAAAAATTTGAATTTACTTTCAATTACTTTCCTTCCCATTTACTTGCTGAACGGAGGTAAATCCTCGTACATTAATCAATCATCGATGAGAGTAATACTTTCCGTAAGATCATTAACTGGTTTTGAAGAAAACATTGTCGTGACAGTCCTTGCCAAACTAATTCTGTTGTTTTTTCAAAAGTGTACATGCGCTTTTTTTCCTTAGAAGCTTTCTGATTGACAGGTGTCAGATTGTGACATATTGTCTCAAAGTTGGCTTGAAAGCCTTTTAAATCACCTTTATCATTACGCAAATGAAAATCTCTCGGTGGAGCTTCTCTCTTCAATTTGCATTACCTCTATTTAATTACCATTTACTAGCTCAAAAATTGTTCGGTTTACGGAAGATCTTGCCGTAATCACAGCCCTTAATCAGTCGAGTTCTTTTGAAGAGAATTTCGTTTTGTTTAAGGAAAAAAATAAAAATGTTATTCACCAGTCTAGGTCGGTCCGTATTGGGAAAATTGGGTCTTGAGTACCACCCGAGTACCACCTCGAGACCTCGGGCACAGTTTTTCTCAATACGGACCTCCCGACTGGTGAATAACATATGTTTCTTTTTTTTCTCAGAGGGCAAGGTAACGAATCTTGCAGTCTCTTTGGTTCTTAGCGCGGTCCGCATTTTCCTACCTCTGCCCACGGGCACGGTAACGCTTGTGTTGGTCACTGAGAACATCCCTAGCTTCGCTGCCATTCTTCTTATAGAGATAAATTTTGTTTTTCCGGCTGGGCCTTATTTTCAAGCAAATCAAGCCGAATGATAACTTATTAATCGTCTCTTTCCTCACTCTTAAGTCTCTTTGGTTACCAGTAGAAATTTGTTTTCGAAATAAAGTTGTGGTAGCAAATGTGTCATTCTGAAATGGGTTGACAAGCGGCCTGAAAACAGTTTTCAATTAACTTTATTCCTAAAAGGTAACTCAGAAAGTTAAGACTGTGAGATATTTTTTTGCTGCTGAATTAATCGATGGAACTTTTATTCATTTAATATCTTAATTCTCTCAATCAATAGTTTCGTCGTTGCGAAGTTTTCAGTATTAGAACACCTTCGCGTCTTGGAGAGAAATGACAAGGACGCGTCCAAACCAGTCGCTAGACACTTTAATCTCCCTAATAATTCTAAGCAGCATTTGGCAGTTTCCGGCCTTTCTCTAAATCAAGGCAATTCGGAAAGCCGCCAAACACTGGATCAAAAATTAATACAAATACCAGGAAAGCAAAAACGGTCGAACCATATGACATTAGGTCTAAAGAAAATATTGGGACTTTCATTTTCTCTTGATTAGGCGATAGCTATCATTTTTTGTGTAAGGTATAGAAGCTTGAAACGAACTGCGCGCACAGCGAACCATTTTCAGAGATAGCAGAAAGAGACAAATGATTCCTAGCTGTTTCAGTAAGAATATTTAACGAAGAAGTTGATTGTCTGTAATGATGCCAAGCAAAGATGGACTGTCACGGAAATGATATTGAATACTTGGGGAAAAAAATGAAAAATATAAAAGAGAGAAAAGAAAAAAGAAAAATTTATTGACCAAAAACTCTCTAAGTTAAAAACAGTGGACAAGCTCATAGGCGTTACGAAACACTTGAAGCGCTACTTAGTGTGTTTAAGATACCAGAAAAGAAGAATGATCGAAAATATCTTGAGATCATATCAGCTTTTGTTTTACGAATAAGTTAGGGGAGGGTGGAAAATTGTTATTCAAGGGTACTCTTTTTAATGATAGCCGAAAGATTTAAAGTGGACTTATTTTAAGTAAGTATATTCAAATAAGAAGTTAATTACCTCGACAGCAGAAAGGTAAAACAAAGCTAGAGCTGATGAACTCCTGAGACTGGTATTGAAACGTAAAGGAACAATTTAAAAGAAAGAGCGCTTTCAAAGAAGAAAGCATTCAAAAATTTTTCAAAATAGAACCTTCGAACTACTTGACCTGTCTCCTTTTTCACAGATTATGGCTGAGTTTAAAAAATTGCTCCATTTTCGGTATATAGTAAAGACTAAGCTACTCAGCATTTTCAAGGTTAATTTTCAAGACTTCGGTCACGAACTTAGGCCGTTTATGTAATGACAACTCTGATTTTTCAGAAAATCAGAGATCATGTGCCAGTTTTTCGATAAACGTGGCTATCCTGTTTCTGTCGTTCAAGCGGACCACCACCGTGCCCAACAAATCGATCGATAAGGAAAACACGGATCGCATTCATGTTCACTCTCACATTTCACCCTCGCAACCACGCAGTTAAATCTATCATTCTAAAGAACCGAGAACACCTTCGCGACTTATAGAGAAATGACAAGGATGCATCCAAACAAATTGGCACTCTTAATCCCCGCGATAATAACGAGCGCCTTTCATTCAACTAATTTCTTCTTGTTTTCTCGTCACCATATTCCCACAAATAGCGCAGCTCGATACACACACAATTTTCCATTCGCTCTGACGAAGGGCAAGCCGGCGCTTAAAATGTCAGCTTTGAAACTCTTAACGGTGGCCAATTTACGTTATCGACTCAGTTGATAATACTAAATTATCCTGTTATACTCTCCCACTGACGCAGAACCACAGTTTCTTAAGAAACTTACCCCCTTCTTTCAGATGAAGACTTATCAATTGACGAGGTGTCGTGGACTCCTCTTTTAAACGAGACACAAATGATCTCACGTCGCCCTTTCCCGATTAACTTGCACGATTACACTTATAACTTCGTTTATCTTCTACCCACGACATCTTTTCTACTCGACTACTCACTGGTGTGAGCTTCGATACTCTGCGACTCCCTTTCATTCCTTCCACTCGAAAACTACAGAGTTTTCAATCCAAGTAAGATTTGGAGAAGTAAGACACGTGATAAAGAATTACGAGACCGAGAAGTACTGGAACATCTCTTCAAAAGAGGGAAATGTGGGTGGGTTACACGTAAGGAGTTTCTATGGGTCTACCAATCAATTCACACGAGAAAAGTGCAACAAAGTCAAGTGATTCACATCACCTGACAATCATTTTTTCAATTCTCTTAGAATAACCCACCATTCCCGCACTTCACTAAGATTACAGGTTATATAAATGATTATGATAATTTATTTAAAAAAAACGATAATACGAGTGACCTGATTCGTCAAAAACCTATCATTTATTGCACCAATAAACCAATAGAAAATTGAAACCTTTTAAGTTATCACATAAAAGTAATAGCCCGCGCTCCTTCGATCATTTTACCGGCGTAGTGAACCACTTGGAATGCTGGAAAACACGAGAAATGTTCATAAGTTGCTTGTCAGTGGCGAGTGATTTGCTCAGAAATCATTTGAACAAATAACTTGATAAATAGGGCTATAAATTTGCTAGGTTTTATTTGAAAAGGAAGATAAAAAAATGTCTTTAATTCATGTGTGATCCCAATATTTATTATTCTGGCGATTTCGTCCAGTCCTATCTCTAAATGCAATACAAAACGAAAAAGAGTTTCTCACAACAAGGGTTTTCACTCAAAATTTACGTGTGAAACTATTAACGTTTCAGATTACGTCAAAGTGCAAAGATCACCATGCCACTCTAAAACTCACCAAAACGCAAAATTGCTTGCCAGTGGCAAGTAATTATCTAACATTTCGAGTGTTCTCCCAACACCTTGTATGGGTTATTACCCAGGTAAATTGATATAAAGTACGGTCTATTAATATAATAGTCTTCGAAAGTTTTTTAAATCAAGAAGAAGAGTCAATCAACAAATTTACAAAAGAACAATTGCCGCCAGTCAGTTGATAAATGACACCCCTTAAAAAATTATGAAGAAGTTGCTCAGAAATCATTTAAGCAAATTGCTTGATGAATAAGGCTATTAAATTGGCTTGGTTTTCTTTGAAAAAATCCGATGATTCTTTTTTTTGATTCATGTGTGATCTCAATATTTACTATGCTGACGATTTCATACAGTCCTATTGCCAAATACAATACAAAACGAAAAAGAGTTTCTCACAATATGGGTTTAACGTTCCAGATTACGTCAAGGTGTAAAGGTCACCTTAACTTACAAAAATGCAAAAAAACAGGTATAATTGTCCAGAATAAGCCAATAGCCTTTCTTCACGGTAAACTAAGGAATACAGCTATTGACCCAAGGACATTATTTCACTTTACTACTTGACAAAGCAAACATCATCTGTCACTTCTGGCACAATCCGTCAACAAAACTCAACAAGTTTTTGGTAAGAGATTTGAAGAACGTTAACGTTTTTTTTAACATTGAACACATTTACCTCATTTCTTTTTACCTGTGCGTAAGGTAAAATCATAATTGGTCATAAATGATAAGATGTAACTAGTCAGTGTTAGCAAAAGAATTGAATGCCAGATGTGTTGTAATATCTTCAGAAAAAAGTTTTTAAATTTGATTTTTTAAACATAGAAAGAACAAAACGGAAAAAAAACTTCAAAAATTTTCTACGGATATACTCTGAAATAAGTTAATTAACCAGTTACCGTTGTCATTCGGTGAGAGCGCGGAGACCTTTGGTTTTTTTCTGTTTGCTTGTTTATCGGTTGGTTTGGAAGTTTTAGACATCACTTGCCAGAGATTGAATGAACACTTGTTAATTTTCGGTATTTCTGCATCAGAGATACATGATAAAAATTTCTATCATTAATACTACTACAGAGTCATTTCTGATTCATTCAAATTGAAAACTACCATAGTAAGAATTTCACGTAAGTAATTTGGTTATCTAAAACCAAATTACAAAAATCAGATGAAATCTTTCTTTGATTTATGTGTGATCTCAATATTTACTATGCTGGCGATCTCGTCCAGTCCTATCATTAAATACAATACAAAACGAAAAAGAGTTTATCACAATATGGGTTTTCACTCAAAATTTAGGTTTGAAGCTGTTATCGTTTCAGATTACGTCAAAGTGAAAAGGTCACTTCACCACTCTAAAACTTACCAAAACGCAAAAAGCTGACTTTTCAATCGTTGGAAACAAACAGGTAATTGTCCAGAATAAGCCAATAGCCTTTCTTCACGGTAAACTGAGGAATACAGTCATTGAACCAAGGACATTATTTCATTTTACCACTTGACAAAGCAAGCATCATCTGTCGCTTCTGGCACAATCCGTCACCAAAACTCGACAAGCTTTGGGTGAGAGATTTGAGGAACGTCAACGTTTTTTTTAACATTATACACATTCACCTCATTTATTTTTACCTGTGCGTAAGGTAAAATCATAATTGGTCAAAAATAACATGAAATATATAAAATATTTTTAAGATGTAACTACTCGTAGTCAGTGTTACCAAGAGAAGTGAATGGGAGATATGTGGTAATATCTGCAGAGAAAAAAACATTAAGATAGAAAACGGAAAAAAAATTCGCTAATGTTTTACAGATATTTTCTGAAATCATTTAATTAACCAGTTACCGTTGTCATTTGGTGAGACCGCGGAGACCTTGCAATTTTTTCTATGATTGTTTGTTTTTCTGTTGGATTGGAAGTTTTAGACATCACTCGCTAGAGATTGAATGAAGAACCGTCAAGTTTCGGTACTTTTGCGTCAGGGATACATGATAAAAATTTCCATCATTGATTTGGTCATCTGAAAACAGATCTCTAATATAAGATATCTCCTTTTCATCTCTTCATTACTTTTTTTTTCCTATGCAGGATTTCCTTTAAAGAATGTGGTTTTGCTATATCTTGCTTGCCATTGCAGCAGTCGATGGAGGTAAAGGAGATTCCTTTTCGATTGATGAAGCTTAAATTCGACCATTTTCTTTTATGTAACTAATCGATTTTTAACTATACCGCATGTCAATTACAACGCGGTCGAAAGGGGCGTCTCAGAGGTATGACCAGATTGATTGATATATGTCAGTGCTGCTGCAAGGGGGTAGTTTTATTTGTCGGAAACAAAATAAAGCAAAAAACAACCATAGGATAGGTTACTAAAACGAAATCTAAGTAAGGCTACAGTTTAAGAAAACCAATAGATCTCCAAATATTTTGAGGCCTTTTTTCGAAGTAAAAAAAAATTTCCAGTCCTATCAATGAGCCGTCCTGATTTTTTTGACCCAGATGTATTCCAGAATTCTCAAAATTAAAAAAAAAAAAGGCAAAATCAATTTAAACTTTCAAATTAAGATCTCAGGAACGGGGGTACGGAGAGTCCGACAGCAAATCCAACGGGTAGGAGGAGCTCCGTTGCCTGAGGCACAACCACCGGGAGTAAGAGGAAGTGTGCTGTAGAAATGCTTACGGTTCTGACCTTAAACCTTCTTTCATTTCAATTCTGTAGAAGAGAACTACCGCTAGCAGGGGAAAATATGCTACATCAATGCTTAGTTGAGTTATAATTACTTGCCTTGACTTCGCCTATTTTCTTTCAGCGTTTACCGACGAAGAACAACAGGGTTTAGCAAAGCACAATGAATTCCGACAAGTACACGAGGCTCCTGCTATGACACTGGACAGACAAATGTGTGATGAGGCGAAACAGTACGCTCAGACGCTTGCAGATATGGGTAGCCTAGTACATTCTCCGAGAAGTGACAGAGTTGGACAGGGAGAGAATCTTGCCATGGAATGTTTATCAAACGGTTCACCAACCATAGAGGACGCCGTGACAAATTGGTGAGGTTAAATCTCGCTTTCTTGCTGCGCAGAAATTCGATTAAGTGTAGTATTCAACCTGGGCCTTTGAGAATAAGCTCACGAGGCTATCCTACACAATGATGTCATTTCTAGGAAATTTACCCCCAAACCTCGCTTTCACTAAATTCTCCCTGAATCTTTGCTAAGTTCCTATCGTTTACCCGTGGGTGTTCCTTTTATTTTTGGCCCTATTCCCCATAAAAAGAGAAAGTAACAATTATGGTAATTAATTTTTTTTTGTTTCAGTGTTTTGGGTATGCTTTTAATTTTGAATTACATTTTACCAGTTCGCTACTTGAGGGTAAGGCGTAGAGGACGGAATTGACTATTGCAACGTAAAAATAAACCAGGCCTACTTTCACCAATCTGGTTACAATTCTTTTCTTAGAAGTAGGGTGTAGTAACCCTGACTATTTCTGAATGATATGATTCGAAACACTAAGGAGTAACCACCCTTCCAGACAAAACATCTGAAACAAATATCGAATATATTTGGCGCTCTGCAATAGCGGCCCGCACATAACCCATGCTAACGTTCAATCCAGTTTCTTGCTGTAACCCTCATTGGTGTCACTTCATGTTACAGTTAATCACCTGACACCTTGTAATATGCTAACAGGAATCCATTGTGACATCTTCATCGGTTAAGACAAGCATCCCCGAAACCAAAACTTTTTTGTGTTCCTTTTCCTTCTTACTATTTTTTCTTACTGTTATCCAATTACTCTGCTTCTATTCTTGTTATAGTCTTTCGCCAACTCCTATAATCAATTTTTACGGAAGCAGACTTAAGGATACAAAAGAATTCATAATATTTTTACATAGTCACACTCTTCTGTCACGCTTTCTTTTCACGAGAGACCAGGACAGAATTTCCCCCTAACAGTATCAATACAATATCAAGCAGAAAACTCATGTGAGTGAAGAAAAATATCACTGTAGGGGAAAATTAAGTGATCCAACATCAAATTCCCACAACAAATATCCTAGGAATTTTATAGAGAATAATCGAGCCAAAAGCCGAGCCAAAACACCAATGGTGATACCAAACTCGCCAGATGAGCTGCCTTAGCACAAATTTAGTACCCGAATAGTGCTTGGAATCTATTCAATTCATCTATTCAAATTTTCAATCGTTACAGGTCCCATGAAAAAAGCGCTCACGAAAATGTGATACGAGTTAACAAACGGCGTAAAAAGGAATAGATGAAAGAGATAATAAATTTTAGTGAATATAGCGAGCAAAGTGGCAAATTAAGGTGGTGAAACATACGTGAAACATACGTGAAACATACGTGAAACATACGTGAAACATACGTGAAACATACGTGAAACATACGTGAAACATACGTGAAACATACGTGAAACCCATGTATGCAAAACTATTTTAGGTATTTGAAAACATGACACAGGGGTAGAATTGCTTGAATTAAAACTGTGAGGACAGTCTCGACAAAATCGGAACACATGAGGTCGCTAATCATGGACGATTCTCTCCACCGTGTGTTTCGTGATGAGTGACGCCAAAGCAGTCAAATATATGCCTAAGACATTGCTGTGACCGCTGATTTTTCTTTTCCTTTATTTTTGTGTTCTCTTTATGTAGTCTCAATGTTTTCCAGGTACAACGAGGTCTGTGATCCGGGATACGATTTTACCAGCCCCTCCTTCTCTGCTGGAACAGGCCACTTTACACAGGTAGTTTGGAAAGGCAGTACAGTTCTCGGAATCGGACGGGCAGAGGGTACAATGCGAGGAATGAAATGCACATATACTGTCGCCAGATACAGACCAGCTGGAAACATGATGGGGGCCTTTGCCCAAAATGTGGTGGTTGGTTCCTTTGATAGTGACAGCTACTGTGCATCAGTTTCAAGTAAAAGACGAAGGTTCTTTGACAAGTATGGAAAAGCAGTCAAGGTGAATGGTATTAAAGCTCCAACCTTTAAAACGGGACCAGCTGAGAGTCGTGCCCGGCAGGTTGAGTTATTGACAAGCAAGAAGAAAACTGCTTCGCACAAGCACAATAAATGAGTCTCTCTGTGAAAAAAAAAATGTATACATATTGACATTTAGTAATTGTTATGATTATTAAAGAGTTGATTAAAAGATAAAACCACCAAACACCGTTGTCTCACTCCGTTGCTTACGGTAATCTTTGAGCTCCAACATTCAGTTCAAGAATGTGGCTGAGTTATCTTTTAAAAATATGGAAATATAAGGAAATCCTAACGTCCCCAACTGCAAGTGGGAAGGTTTGAAGTCTACATTTTGACCACGATGTGGGCTTCCGCACCTCACAAACTTTAGATCAGTAATGGTTTTGCAAACAGGAAAAGGTGTTAGCAATTCACTACTCTCTTGCCAATATCAGCCAATAGCTTTTTTGTTTAGAAACAGATACTTGCAAAAAATGTTTCAAAGTTTGTTTGGAAGCCTCTGAAATCACTTTTATCGCTACAGAAAAAGAAAAATTTTCGGTAAAGTCTCTCTCATTAATTTGCATAATCTCTCTTTATACTAACCTATACTCGCTCAAAAATTATTCAATTTAAGGAGGATCTAAAGTGTAACTTTGTATGATGAAAATAACAGAAAAAAAAGAATGGTCGAACATATCTTGAGATTATATCAGCTTTTGTTTTATGAATAGGGTCGGAGAAGGGTGGAAAAATTATCTGTCAAAGATACTTTTTTCTATTATAGCCAAAAGAGTTTAAGAGGTTTGACCTATGTTTAATAGGTATATTCAAATAAGAAGTTAACTTCCTCGACAGCAGTAAGGTAAGACAGAGCTAGAGCTGATGAAAGCCTAAGGCTGGTGTTAAAACGTAAAGGAACAATTTAAAAGAAAGAGCGCTTTCAAAGAAGAGAGGATTTTTAAATTTTCAAACTGGACCCCTAGAGCTACTTGACCTGTCTCCTTTTCACAAAATATGGCTGAGTTTAAAAAACTGCTCCATTTTCGGTGTGAAGTAAAGCTAGGCTAGTCAGCATTTTCAAGGTTGATTTTTAAGACTTCGGTCACGAACTTAAGCCGTTTATGTAGTGACGACTCTGATTTTTCAGAAAAATTAGAGGTTATGCGCCAGTTTTTCTGTCGTTCAAGCGGGCCACCACCGTGCCCAAAAAATCGATCGACGAGGAAAATATCGATCGCATTCCAATCACTCTCACATTTCACCCTCGCAACTACGTAGTTAAATCTATCGTTATTAAGAACCGAGAACACTTTCGCGTCTTATAGAGAAATGACAAGGATGCATCCAAACCAGTCGCTAGACACTTTAATCTTCCTAATCATTCTAAACAGCATTTGGCAGTTCGCGGCCTTTCCCTAAATCAAGGCAATTCGGAAAGCCGCAAAACTCTAGATCAAAAATTCATTCGACTAATTTATACTTGTTGTCTCCAATAGCGTAGCTCCATACACACAATTTTCAATTCGCTCTGACGAAAGGCTAGCCGGCGCTCAAAATGTCAGCTTTGAAACTCTTAACGGTGCCTAATTTAAGCTATCGACTCAGTTGATAATACTAAACTGCCCTATTATACTCCCCCACTGACGCAGAACCACAGTTTCTTAAGAAACTTACCCCATTTTTTCAGATAAAGACTTATCAATTGATGAGGTGTCGTAGACTCTTCTTTTAAACGAGACATGAATGATCTCACGTTGCCCTTTCCCGATTAACTAGTACGATTACACTTATAACTTCGTTTATCTTCTACCCAAGACATCTTTTCTGCTCGACTACTCACTGGTGGGAGCTTCAATACTGTGCGACTCCCTTTCATTCCTTTCACTCGAAAACTAGAGAGTTTTCAATCCAAGTCAGATTTGGCGAAGTAAGACACGTAATAAAGAATTAGGGGACTGAGAAGTACCAGCTGGAACAATTCTTCAAGAGAGGAAAATGTTGGTGGATTTCACGTGAGGAGATTCTATGGGTCTACTAATCAGTTCACACGAGAAAAGTCCAACAAAGTCAAATGATTCACATCGCCTAACAATCGTTTTTTCAATTCTCTTAAAATAACACACCATTCCCGCACTTCAATAAGATTACAGGTTATGTGAATGTGATTTATGAATTTATGAAAAAAACGGCCATATTACGAGCGACATGAATTCGTCACAAACTTTTCATTTATTGCACCGATAAACTCATAGAAAACCGAAACATCTTAAGTTATCTTATAAAAGTAATACCCCGCGCTCCTTAAATTAGTTTACCGGCGTATTGACCCACTTAGAATGCTGGAAGGCTATTAAATTGGCTAGGTTTCCTAGGCTTTTGAAAAATTAGATGAAATCTTTCTTTGATTCATGTGTGATCTCAATATTTACTATGCTGACGATTTCACAGTCCAATTACCAAATACAATACAAAACGAGAGAGAGTTTCTCACAATATGGGTTTAACGTTCCAGATTACGTCAAAGTGCAAAGATCACTTTGCCACGTTAACTTACAAAAATGCAAAAAACAGGTATTATTGTCCAGAATAAGCCAATAACCTTTCTTCACGGTAAACTAAGGAATACAGTTATTGACCCAAGGACATTATTTCACTTTACTTCTTGGCAAAGCAAACATCGTCCGTTACTTCTGGCACAATCTGTCACCAAAACTCGACAAACTTTTGGTAAGAGATTTGAAGAACGTTAACGTTGTTTTAACATTGAACACATTCGTAAAATCACAAGTGGTTAAAAATGATGTGAAATATACAAAACATTTTTAACTGGTCTATCTTCAGAAAAAAGTTTTTAAATTTGACTTTTCAAAAATAGAAAGAACATTAAAACAGAAAAAAAAAACTTCAAGAATGTTTTACGGATATACTCTGAAATCAGTTAACCAGTTACCGTTGTCATTCGGTGAGTGCGCGGATACCTTTGGTTCTGTTCGTTTTTTTATCGGTTGGTTTGGAAGTTTTAGACATCACTTGCCTGAGATTGAATGAACACTTGTTAATTTTCGGTATTTCTGCATCAGAGATACATGATAAAAATTTCCATCATTAATACTACTACAGAGTCATTTCTGATTCATTCAAATTGAAAACTACCAGAATTTCACGTTAGTGATTTGGTTATCTAAAACAGATCTCTTTTTCATCTCTTCATTACTTTACTTTCCTATGCAGGATTTCCTTTAGAGAATGTGGCTTTGTTATCTCTTGCTTGCCATTGCAGCAGTTGATGGAGGTAAAGGAGATTCCTTTTTGACTGATGAAGCTTAAATTCGGCAATTTTCTTCTGTGTAACTGATCGATTTTTCACTATTCCGTATGTCAGGGGTGTCTCAGGGGTATGACCAGATTGATTATAATATGTCCGTGTCGTTGCAAGGGGAAAGTTTTGTTTATCGGAAACAAATAAAGCAAAAAATCCATAGGATAGGTTACTAAAACGAAATCTAAGTAAGGCTACAGATGTAGAGAACCAATAGATCTCCAAATATTTTGAGCCCGTTGTTTGAGGTAAAACAAAATTTATCCAGTCATATTAATGAGCCGTCCTGATTTTTTGGAACAGAACTACCGCGAGCAGGGGAAAGTATGCTACATCAATGCTTAGTTGAGTCATAATTATTTGCCTTGAATTCGCCTATTTTCTTTCAGCGTTTACCGACGAAGAAAAACAGGGTTTAGCAAAGCACAATGAATTCCGACAAGTACATGAAGCTGCTGCTATGACACTGGACAGACAAATGTGTGATGAGGCGAAACAGTACGCTCAGACGCTTGCAGTTATGGGTAGCCTGGTACATTCGCCGGGCAGAGACAGAGGTGGACAGGGAGAGAATCTTGCCGTGGGATGTTCAACAGACGCTCCACAAACCATAGAGCAAGCCGTGACAAATTGGTGAGGTTATATTTCGCTTTCTTCCTGCGCGGAAAATTCGATTATGTGTAATATTCAACTTTGGCCTTTGAGAATAAGCTCACGAGGCTATCCTACACAATGATGTCATTTGCTGACAATTTACCCCCAAACCTCGTTTTCACTACATTCTTCCCAAATCTTTGCTGAGTTCTTATCGTTCGCTTGTGGGTGTTTCTTTGATTTTTGGCTCTATTCCCCATAAACAGAGAAAGTAACGATGTTGGTTATTAATTATTTTTTTATTTCAGTGTTTGGGATTGTTTTTACTTTTGAATTACATTTTACCTGTTCGCCTTGAGGGTGAGACGTAGAGGGTGGAATTTTATATTTCAACGTAAAAATACACCAGGCCTACTTCCACTAATCTTGTTACAATTCTTTTCTTAGAAATAAGGTGTAGTAACCCTGACTATTTCTGAATGAAATACTTGAGAGCAACCACCCTTCCAAACAAGACATCTGAAACAAATATCGGATATATTTGGCGCTCTGCAATAGCGGCGCGCACACAACCCAAGCGGTCCATACCACTAACGTTCAATCCAGTTTCTTTCTGTAACCCTCATTAATGTCACTTCATGGTACGGTTAATAACCTGATACCTTGTTATATACTTATGGGAATCCGTTATGACTTCTTCATTGGTTAAGACAAGCATCGCCGGAACCAAAACTTTTTGCGTTCCTTTTCCTTTTTGCTCTTTGTTTCTTACTGTTATCCAATTACTCTGCTTCTATTCTTGTTATAGTCTTCCACCAACTCCCATACACAATTTTTGCTGGGGCAGACTGAAGGGTACAAAAGAATTCATAATATTTGAGCCTTGTCACACCTTTCTGGCACGCTTCCTTCTCATGAGAGACCAGGATAGAATTTCCCCTAACAGCATTAATACAATATCAAGCAGAAAACGGCGTAAAAAGGAACAGATGAAAGAGAGAATATATATGGGTTTCACGAATATAAAATATTCGTGAAACCCATGTCTGCAAAACCATTATAGGTATTTGAAAACTCGACGTAGGGGTACAATTGCTTGAATTAAAACTGCGGGGACAGTTTCGACAAAATCGGAACACCAAGAGTTGTTAATCATGGACGGTACTCTCCGCCGTGTGTTTCGTGATGAGTAACGCAGTCAAATTAATGCCCAAGACGTTGCTATGACCGCTGGTTTTTCTTTTCCTTTATTTTTTTGTTCTCTCTATTTAGTCTCATTGTTTTCCAGGTACAACGAGGTCTGTGATCCGGGATACGATTTTACCAGCCCCTCCTTCTCTGGTGGAACAGGCCACTTTACACAGGTAGTTTGGAAAGGCAGCACTGTTCTTGGAATCGGAAGGGCAGAGGGTACAATACGGGGAATGAAATGTGCATATACTGTGGCCAGGTATAGACCAGCTGGAAACATGATGGGGGCATTTGCCCAAAATGTGGTGGTTGGTTCCTTTGATAGTGACAGCTACTGTGCATCAGTTTCAAGTAAAAGACGAAGGTTCTTTGACAAGTATGGAAATACAGGCAAGGTGAATGGTACCAGAGCTCCAACCTTTAAAACGGGACCAGCTGAGAGTCGTGCCCAGCAGGTTGAGTTATTGAAAAGCAAGAAGAAAACTGTTTCGCACAAGTACAATAAATGAGTCTCTGTGAAGAAAAAAAGTATATATATTGACATTAGAAATTGTCATAATTATTAAATAAAGAGTTGATTAAAAGATAAAACCACCAAACACCGCTGTCTCATTCTGTTGCTTACGATAATCTTTATGAGCTCCAACATTTAAGATTGTGGCCGAGTTTATCATTTAAAAACCTGGAAATATAAGGAAATCCTACCTGCAATTGTGAAGGTTTGAAGTCTACATTTTGACTAAGATATGGGTTTTCGCACCGCACAAGCTTTAGTCAGTAAACGTGTTGTAAACAGGAAAAGGCGTTAGCAATTCACTGGTCTCTCGCCAACATCAGCCAATAGCTATTCTGTTTAGTAAACTTAGGATCACAGCTGTCACCTTGAAGACATTGTTTCATTTTACTGTCTAACAGGGCAAACATTATCTGTTACTGCTGGCAAAATCCGCTAACAAACTCCAAAAGATTCCTGGTAAGAGATTTGAAGTATATTACTTTTAAAGAACAAAACCTATCACTGTTAAGTCATTGTTAAGGTTAAGGCCAAATCAAGTTGTCGGCGACGAAACCTGATGACAACGTGGAAACGTTCAGATTTATTTTCAAAGTGTTAAGAGGTCCTTTGCATTGTAATTGATTAAATATTTTAAAAAAGGGTTTTTGATTTTTCAATCAATGGCGAGGGGAGAGGCAAATTTACTTTGTAAGACTGACCATGAGACGTATTAAATACGACCTCTCCGCCAAAGATCTCTTGCCCATAATGGATTATTTCTCGATATCCACATCGGTGCAATTGGCCTAGTCTAAATATCTGAAGACTTTCCTCGCCATGTTGAAATTAAAAAAAAATAGAAGATTGCTCACTTGGGTACTTTTCGAAGTCTTTCCTTTTTTCTTATCTTAAATTTGCCTTTTTGCATTTAGGACTTCCTTAAGAAAATGTTGCTTTGGTGCCTTCTATTTTCCATCGTTGCTGCCCAAGGAGGTAAAAACGATTTCCTTTATTGAACTGTCTGAATTTAACGGCACAGTTCTTCTTCTTATTGACTCATGAATTTTGCTTCATGCTACGGGTAAACGACGAGGAGAATGAAATGGCTTTCGGTGGTATGACAGTTACTATAGCCTTATTAAACTGATTGTCATTCTCATAAATGAAAATAAAAGAAAAACACTTAAAAAAAATGGACAGCGAAAACAAATTTATTATATTCATAGCTTCTCTCCGCAGGAAAATATTTTATTTGGATCAAATTTCTCATCGTGCTCTTGCTCGTTGTGCATCTGTTCTCTTGTAAAGCATGTTGTTTCAACCGACCTGAGCGCGCGCCAAGTGGAAATCTTAATGTAATCATATATGTTGTTTAATTGATTATTAAACTGCCTTCATGTGTTAATTTTACATGTCATTTAAGTTTGCCCAAGAGACTGGATCGCCTTGCTTCCAGAACTTGACCCAGTTTTTGGTAGCATACAGTGACAAAGAGCATCGTAACTCCATAAAATGAGACCATCCCGTAAATTAATCAGGTTTTATTGTCGCACGACTGATTTTAGTTCATGCTACTGTGTAGACAGAGGCACTATTAGAATCAGAGGGACTTCCTATCTAAGATCACCCCACAAATTCCATCGCCGAGGCTTAAACTCATATCTTTTTTTAAAAAACTACTTATCATCTATCGGTACCGTCCTTTTCCTTGGTTGTCACAGACATGGACCACGGTGCTCCCATTACGATCTATGGCACTGGGATAATAAAACAGAACGGCACAGCCAATATGAATTTACAGATTAAGATAGGTGGACGTAAGGCAGGAGGTGTAACAGGAATTCCAATGGGAGGTGCAGCTCCATTGATAGGGAAAGAACAGCCCTTACAACGAGGAGGTATGGTTTGTAAATTCAGTCTTCGCTATTTGGTTTAGTTTTGATGTGATTTTAAAGTTCGACGGTCATTTTGTATCTAAAATAGCATCGCAAAACCTGGATACAATCAGTTTTCCCTCCCATTAGTCCATGCAGTTTGTTTCATTACCCCTTTCACTCCCAAGATCTAATTAGTTGTTCTCCTTACTGTCTGCCATACAATTCTTACGATGTTAGTTTAGAGTATTTGGTATTGGATCAACTAATAATTCCATAATTAATATTTTTCTTCATTCTCATCACCTGCCTGCTTGATATTGTATCAATATTGTAAGGAGAAATTCTGTCTTGGTCACTTGTGGGAGTGAAAGGGTTAAATCATCTTTCTAATTTTGAGATCAATGAAGTAAACCCGGTTATCATCTTATATACCATAGCTTGACCTCATATGGGTAATAATCACATTGTCCAAAGCTTCAGTTTCCTTTTTGTGGGGGGGAGGGGAGACAAAAATTAAGGTATAAGCGAAAACCAACGTAAGAATGAAAAAAAGGTGAAAGAAACATCCTCACATGGCCAGCCCCGTTAACAAGAAAAACTAAATGAATCTTGTATTCTGTTTGACTACCCAAACTGATTGGTGAAGTAATCTTGCTCACTCGGGAATTCCTGCTTTGATCCAACGCATTCCTATTAACCTAATAGCCCATAAAATTAAATAGGTTCCACAGTTTAGAAATCGTCATGTGCAGCTCCTTCGCAAATTTTCACTACTAAATGGTACAGGGTAACGTGTTATACAAACTACAAATGATTACAGTTCTTCTCCTGTCCTTGAAAAGACATAAGCCAGCATCAGAAAAAGCTTCATGATCCTTTACTTATCATCATCATTAGTAGTCCCGTTGACGAGCCAAGTACAGTTAGTGATTTATTTTACTTGGAGAATTAATAGTCTGGTCCCACTGTCTTGTTAAGAAAGTAGTAAAGAGAGTAAGTAATAATTCTGAATAGTCCAGCCTCAGGCCTGAATTCCAGAACCCCTCCCTTTCCCCCGCCCTCTTATTTACCTCCTATGCAAGGACAGTACCACTTAAATACTTATTCTTGATTGGAACTTTCCTCGCTGTTCGTTTTCTACAGTCACTTTTTATGAAGGAACTCTCCTTCATATTAAGTGTTTATATAGATACGGAGCCACGAAAAAGGGATCTTTTGAATCAAAGGTATCAGTCCGAAAAATTTTCCAGCATGTCTTCACTTTGTCTTTTCAGAGTTAACCGAAGAAGAACAACAGGGTTTAGCAGCTCACAATGAATTTCGACAAATACATCACGTTTCTGCGATGACACTAGATAGGCAAATGTGCGATGAGGCTCATCAGTACGCCAAGCGGCTTGCGCGTATGGGTCGGCTTGAGCATTCAAAGGATAGAGAAAGAGATGGACAGGGAGAAAATCTTGCTATGGGATGTTCATCAGGTGCTTCGCCGCAAACTGTGGAGCAAGCCGTGAACAGCTGGTGGGCTCAGCTTTATTTCTTAGATCAATTTTCCGAAGGGTTGTTGACATCTTAATGAAATATTCCAAAGATAGATGTCAGTGATCAGGGTAAAAAAATCTCATCTCAAGGACTTATTATAACAACCTTGACCATATTTTTAAAAACTTTATCCTGAAATACTCCGCATCAGCATCTAAAAAAAAATGATATGCGACGGTACTAAACGAAGAATTCTGCACCAGAGAGTTATTTAGAACAGAGAACTTATTTTAGAACCAGTTTGGATTGAGGAATATGAAGTTAGGGGCTTCAAGTGTGAAGATTCCATCCCTTATTATGGGCATTTATTCCAAATAGGGCAATGCAGAGGATTTAGTCAAATGAACTCGTTTCGAAGGGCTTCTCCATTGTGCCTTTTCCTTCAGTCCTTCGTCCTTTAAATCCGCACGCTGTCTTTTTTCTATTAGCTTCTTTTGAGCTCTCCTATGAAATAATACAATCTCCACCAGCGTTACCACCATGCAGGAACAATGTGTTTGATGGATTGTGACAATTTAACGTCGCCTCATTTGAAAAGAACACAGTTTTTGAGAACTCTGAGCACTGCAAAATTGGTAGCCCATACCATTCGATATTCATTTAGCTTCTCTCCTTCCCCTGATGAGTGTAAGTTGGTAAATATAATAGCCAGTTGATGATCAGGTACCCACGATATACGTGCTTGTACCAGGAGAAAAAAAATAATGCTATCGCATGGTCAAAAAAAGAATCACTGAAAGGCGTGGCCTTTCTCCGTACCATTCCCTTCTTACCGTTACCCAATTAACCAGCTTCTTTTTTCGTTTCATTCCCCCTACCAATTTAGGAGCAGTTTTTTTCCGGAGCTAATCAAAGGATAAAAAGTGGTTCATGATAAAAGTTTTTAACCTAAAAATCTGCCTTCGCAAATCGCATAGTTTGCTCTTTCTGTTTTTGTACTCTTTCTTTCTCTATTATCTTCCAGGTACAACGAGGTCTGTCGTCCAGGATATAGCTTTTATACCCCCTCCTTCAGCGGTGGGACAGGCCATTTCACTCAGGTAGTGTGGAAAGAAAGCATTTTTCTTGGAATTGGACAAGCTTCAGGGGAGAAAAACGGCATGAAATGTACTTATACTGTGGCTAGATATAAACCGGCTGGGAACATTTTCGGAGAGTTTTCCGAAAATGTGCCAAAAGGAAACTTTGATAAGGAAAGCTATTGTGCATCAGTTAAGAGAAATACCGTCTTGGACAAGCACGGAAAGGCAGCTTTGCTTAACGATTCAAATGCCACAATGGGGTCGGCTGAACTTCGCGGCCAATATGAGGAACAGTGAAATAGCAAGAACGAAGGTATTGCCAAAAACCATAGACAACGATAATTGTTATACTTTGAATAAAAGAAATTAAATCAAATCCCTTTGTTTCCTTTAATTCTGAGCTGTGTCATATTGATGATTTAATGCCTCTAAAATCTTAGCACAAGGCCAAAGATCCTTCCTATAAATCTAGATTTAAAAGGAAATTCCAGAAAAATGGCAATTTGTGGTCCAAAGAAGGAATCTTGAAATGTTGATTTCAGTAAGAAACAAACGATTGAGTTAGTTTTTTTGTTGTTTGGCATTCAACTGTTTGACCTATTTTTCCAATTATGGATACGTACCTTAAAGTTTTGGTCTTTGTCTTGAGGCCTCACCTCTTTTGAGATCTTTGTCATCGGAAAAATTACGCACTTACATATTTAATGGTTTCTCTGAATATCAAATCGAATTGGAAAACAAACTTCCACGCGGGAGACTAAGTATTAGAGACCATACCTCAACCTTTCTTGCTCACTGCATACAAGTGGAACTGACTTGACAGAAATCGTGGATCAACAGTCTCCTTCTCTGTCTAAAAGTTTTCTCTCCGTTAGAGATGACAAAATTTCATTAAAAATTGAGCGAAAAGATTCATTATCTTACATTTCAATATTTTCAAGTTTATTAATTTACTTATTCATTTCTCTTATTTACCCGTTATTTTTTTCTGTGATGATGGGAGGGGTGGGGGGCACCAGAGTCCTGATTCAGTCTACCCTTTTATCAAAATTTCGAATCAGCTAAGAATAAAACCTAAACAGTGAAGTATGTCGTTATTATTTTTGCTATTACGCGGATTAAAACACACGGGAAAGAAAACACGCGCAAATAAAAGCATCAACATAACAAAAGTTGTAATACAAGACAAGACATGGCCTTGTTCACCCTATATATATATTTATTTTATCGCACTACACTACATAACAATGTTTCGAGCCTAGCAAAATAAACAATTAACCATGCTTGTGATGGGAAATGTGACCTTTCTTTTTGCTGTTTAACAGCCCAAGGTCCTCGCCTCGCTGCTTTTTAAATCCAGTCTTTTTAGTCTTCCAGGCGTCCTTGACCGGAGGAGCTGAAATGGAAAGAAGAAAGTAAACAAAAGTAATTAGCTGCCTTTAAGACCTACACTTTCTAGAGTTTACGGAAACTTTGATTTTTCGCCTTAGAATTCGAAAGATTAAATAGATTCCGATTATATGTCATCAAACTAAACCAAGTTTTCTATTATCAGTAATTTTATACCATTAGTAACAGTAATTCCGTCATTGTATTTATTAAAGATAAGTCAATGCAAAAAGTCAGAATATAGAGCAAAACAGCTCACCAGTTTCTCCTGCTAGGCCTCCTGCCGGGAATGCCCCTCCTTCTTGGCCACCTGCAGTAGGACCAGTAGCAGGTATTCCTGCTCCAAATCCTCCTTCCAAACCTCCTATTCCTCCTTCTGGGGCTCCTAACCCTCCCACTGGGGCTCCTAAACCTCCCTCTGGGGCTCCTAACCCTCCTTCTGGGGCTCCTAATCCTCCCACTGGGGCTCCTAAACCACCTTGTGGGGCTCCTAACCCTCCCTCTGGAGCTCCCAAACCTCCTTCTGGGGCTCCTAACCCTCCTTCTGGGGCTCCTAATCCTCCCACTGGGGCCCCTAACCCTCCTTCTGGGGCTCCTAACCCTCCCTCTGGGGCTCCTAACCCTCCTTCTGGGGCTCCTAACCCTCCTTCTGGTGCTCCTAACCCTCCTACTGGGGCTCCCAGCCCTCCCTCTGGGGCTCCTAACCCTCCCACTGGGGCTCCTAACCCTCCCACAGGCGCTCCTAAACCTCCTCCTGCGCCTCCCAGCCCTCCTGTTGTGCTAACTGCGCCTCCCAGCCCTCCTGTTGTGCTAACTGCGCCTCCTGGGGCTCCTAATCCGCCTGCTGTGCCACCTAGCCCTCCTGCTACCCTTGCTTGACCTCCTGATGTGCTTCCTATTCCTCCTACTGGACTGACTGCGCCTCCACCAAGACCACCTGTCACGCTTCCTACGCGTGTGCTGCTTCCTTTTTTTCCAGATATGCCAGCTATCTTACTTGCTGTTCCAACTACCTTACTTGCTACCTTTCCTGCCTTTCCTCCCTTCAATGCTATGCTTCCAACTTTTGCTGCCAGGCCCAATAATCCAAGAGGTTTTGGTTGGCCACCCATTTCTTTTGATGGACCATTAACACCTCCTCCTTCGGGTTCTACCCCTCCTCCCAGCCCCTCATCAGGTCCTTCAGCTGCCGTTCCCTGCCCACCAATTTGTCCTACCGGTCCTTCTATGTCAACTTGTAGATTTAATCTGGTTGCGCCGTTTTTTTTTATTGTTCCAGTGCCAGAGATAGTTAATTGAGAATCTTGGCCCACCTCTGAAACAATCAATAAATATATCCCTTTGATGAATAGAAGGTGAAGGTGATCGCGGATTTTTGAACCACGACTTTGTCTTGGTGAGTAAAAAGGAAGTTGGTCAGTAATTATCAGCTTTCTTGATCGAACAAGTTTATAATTTTGAGGTTTCCTACATGGCTAAAACCACCGACGAGATTTCACAAAAGGGTGGCAAGGTGAATTTAGGGAACTCGTCGTGTAATTTTCTTCTGCGGAATTAAAAAGGAAGATAGTCACGCTCGGATGGCCAATCAAACTTTGGGATTCGCCTCATATTGCTCGTTAACGGAGGTGGCCTTTCAATGACAAATAACTGAAAAGAGAAACAAAGAAAAGGGGAAGACATTGTAAAAACCTCCTTAAATTTATGGGTATATCAAATGTTTCAGTTCGATTCCTTTGTTTTTCTAAGCTTCACTATCGAAACTCGCAATCATTTTGGAGGGTCATGAGCGCAGTTATCATATTTCATAAAGCTTCAGAAAGGCCAAGTGGCAGTCGAAATTTTATGACTTAAAAGGTACAACTGAAATAACACTGAAAATTTGTTAATGAACATAAGAGAAGAAACGATCTACGACATACCTCCCCCTTCAACAGGGACTACTGCCCTTCCCCTGAGAGTTCCTGCCCCCAATGGTGGAACTTCTCTCATAGAAGTCATACGCCCTTTAGAAAGAACGCGAAATAAGCTCTTGAGTTACAAGCCGTCAAGAGAATAATTCAATAACAGTTTTGAGTAGTTCTGGTGCAATAAGATAAAAATAATAGCAGTATCAGTGTTGGTGTAAAGCAAGTGCTAGAAACAAAAGTATTAGCTGTGACAAAAGCAGTGGCAGTTTCTGGAGCAGATGCGTAATGAAAGTCGAACCTTTTTGTTTCAAAAAAAGGTTTCCATTTTATTCAAATTTACTTTAATTTCATATCACATCACCCTCGAGGCTTCACGAGTATTTTAAATTTTTATCCTTGGCATATATGAATGTAACTCGTAGACGTATGGTCAGTAATTATTCTGCGATAAAGGAGTAGATTCCGAACACCTTGAATTTCTGAGCAGGGTTTTGAGCGATATTTTGATAGATCGATATAGATATTATTCCAAAAAGCCTATTTTAAACTGAACCTATTTGTATGAAGAGTCAATAGTCAATTTTTTTTTGCTCTTATTACCTCTGAAACGTCCTCTGTTTCTTCGATGTCGGGCTGCAATGTAGAATAAAATTATTACTTGGGAAGACGAAAAGAAATGTAACGTTAAACTGGACGAGTTGCTTCTGTTTTACCTCCTTCTACTGCTACAACAGCCAACAGAAGAAAACGAAGCCACATGGTTTTAAATCAGTCCTGATTGAAATAAAAAAGACGAGCGGTTAGCGAATAAGGAAATTTCTGAAAGAAATTTCTTGAAACGTGGGAAAACTTTCGATTCTTAGTCCAGCGGGTTGAAATTTGACCATAAATCGATGATCGTGCTTGATTCAGATGAGAGAAGGGATCAAATTCAAAAGTCTACACACGTTCACAAGTATTGGATTTCATTGATTTGGAAATCAGTGAAGGATCCTCTGCGCATGCACGGACGAATAAGTGCGGCGCTTTATCATAATTAGCACTTTGTCTTAGTTATTTTTAGCTAAAGAAAAACACAACGCCCGAATGTCCCCGTTCACAGATTATGTAAATGTGTAACTTATCTTATCCCTTCTTTTGCCTAAAAATAAAGGAAAGATTGGAGGCAAAGAAATTTATTAACCTCAGGATCAACAAACGTTAAATTCTTTGTCAACGACCAGTAAGCAGGGCGGCTTCGAATTACAGTGAAATTGTTCTCTAGAGTTAAAACTGATCTCAGATTCACTTACTTATCTCAAAGGTTGATTGCTAACTTTTGAAATAGTGTATTTCGTCTATCTCACCAGTATGACGTTGGGTTTTTGTCACCAGACTAAAGAGAGATGGAATGCTGCCTCCTTTCCTTTTTATATAATGAGATAAGCCTATTAGTGGAGCCCTATTCCCCTGGTCACTAGACTAAAAGGTTATTGGCTCGTTCTCAAGGATAACCTGTTCTTCTCCGAAGTTCTGAAAGTCAATTTCTATACGTTTGGCGATTCTTTAAGTGGCTAGGTGGTTTATTGAACGTATGCTCTTCAGAAACCAGATAGGTTAATTACCAAATGTCCACATATTTATATTTCTTAGAAAGCCTTCATATCGAGGAAAAATCTACGTATTTTTATTTTTTTTATTCTTTTATATTTTTTGCCATTAATGTTCGTTATTAAATGTTTCATCAAGAGGCTCTGGCTTGGCGAAAAAGCTTGAAAACAGACTAAATAGGATTCAGGGGAAACGTTTCCGAATATGTGAGGTCATGACCTTGTATTGTGACAGAGCAGGTAAAAACTTCTCCTTCATAGGCGGAAAATTTTTAACCTTGTATCTTGAGCTATTCCTAAAGCTTGATGAACAGGAAATACGCAATTCCGAAATAAATACATCTGGATATCTTTAAGGACCATTCTTGTTGAGCTCTCTTTCAGAGAAAATTTATCTGACCATACGTAGATTCACAAAAAGCAACAAATATTTGTCTTTTAAAAATTTAGGATGCATACAAACAAGCAAATATTGAGGAGAAGTAAATCGAAATATATTTATAGCATAGCATGGGAACGAATTACTCAGAAAATAATATTCTGATGACACGTTGAAGAGGCTCGCGTGGCATCATGGACGATTCGGATTATTTAAGCGTTTCGCGGGAAAATTAAGTCATTTCAAGTCTGTCAGTCTTATGTTTGACCACTTTTTTTTTGTACTTGTTATAATTTTGGTATTCCAGCTCCCTGTAAAATATGATTAAGATCATGCGATTTGTGATTAGTAGTGCAACCAGGTTAGTTTACCCTTTCCTCGAGGTATTGTGCTGCTGTATTAGATGACAAATACGTTTCCACACTTTTTTTGGCCCCATCTAAAGAGTGGTATTTTAGCAGTTTTTCGTATCTGGCGTACGCTAGTCTCAGGGTGCACATGTTAAGATTGTATCAGGATGCGTATACAAGAAGACTGCCTGACTCATCCCAAAAAAAGTTTTTCACATTGAATGTCTCCGGTGAGTATAGTCAGAATCTGCCCTTTTCTTCTCGCGATATATGGAAAAATCCCATATATCTCGGGAGACAATTCTGAAATAATTCCTGTGAGTTAACACGATTTGAGCAAGGTTTTTTCGAAAATTATAACAAAAGTGGTGATCGGTGAGTATCGATGATGATGATAACAATGATAGTAAAATTTATGAGAAGAATAATTCTTGTTGCCCAAGATTCATTCACGTCGGAAGTATAGGTACTCTGAATTGATTTGAATTTTTCCCGTTTGCCACATTGACCTACCAAGATAACCAAATGTCTTTTCACAATAATAGGTTAGCCTCTTCAGAATTCTTTCTACAGAATTTGAATCTATTATTGCAATAACATAAGTTATTATTTTTTTCACTTAATTTACTCCACTCATCGTGCTTTTATGAGTTTGAGATGGCGAGGTGCCGCCATCTTTGAAATACGAAAATGATCATTGAGATTAACCTACTCGCCGCGAGTCAAAATTTGCCGCGCATCGGATTGAAAATCTGGGGTCAACAATCTCAAGTCTTGCCACACAGCTGTGTATTACTCCCCTCGCTTCTCTGACTGTCTACGATTAATGTAAATTACAAGCATCATATGACCCGGCCCCGCGCGCGCAACCCTGTAGAAAACCGGGAAGATTTTACTCGTTCTCTTTTATATCCCACAAAGGAATAGTGCTTTTTCGGATGTTTTTTCGATGTTGAGCTGATATGATTTAGGTTAAATTTAAGTTTTCTCTGAACTTTGTAAAAAGTCTTTACAACCTCCCTTAATTCAAGAATGTTTTATTTAAATTTAAATTATATTTACTAATTTATAGTCTGTCAGAGTAGTCCACTGAATATCCAGATTTCTCTAATTCCCAGTTAAGCAGTAAACGTTTAGTCGTCAGTTGCATAATTGAAACCGTTATCTTTTAAAATTTGATATTACTGTCGTTTGTCTCAAGGTGCTAGAGATTAAATCCGTATTTTGTCTTTTTTTTTATCCTTGCTTCTTAAAGAGACGGGGCATACCAATTAACCCGAGTTTCACCCATTTGGTCTCCCTGTGAGAGTTCTGCAGGTAGGTGAACCTTATTGATATACTTCAGGTTCCATGTTATCGTACACGAGGTTAGATTGAGGGCTGACTGTTTCGTGTATTCTTAACTGTACATAGAGTTTCCATAAAAAACTGAAGGACTTTAAGAAAAATAGGTAAGCAAAACCAGCCGGGGACGAGTGTTTCAGGTATGATCCATTTCAAACTCTGCCCTATGATTTGTAAAGCTTTTAAAATTTGTTTCAGATATCAGAGGCGACACAAGTACCAAAGCCTTTGCTTCTTCTACATATTAAATAGGTGAATTCTTCTGTTAGCGGTACAAGTAACGGAATGTTTGTCTCAGCACAGATATATATATGAAGAGTTCGGATAAAAGGAAATTGGCGAGTTTTCGTCCGAAATCAAACTACGAGTCTCTTCACAAGCACTGCAATGCAAAGAAACTTTAATTCCTGTTGCTACAGTTGTAAACAAACTTTTTCTTCCGCAAAAGGATTGTTTTTTATCGTTGGGTATTTACTGAAAAATATATTAAATTTTGGTCAAATTCAAAGTTCTGCGGTTTTCCTCTAAAACCTAATTAACAAATTCTTAAGCGCGCGACTTGAAAGAAAAAAACAGATTGGAACTGAGCGGTTTTCTTCCTTGTGATTAATTATAACAGCAGTTACATTTTATCATCTTGTTGGACAAAGTCAACGTTACTTGTCATGAAGTTGACAAGCGAACTCATATGACTCCGTTCTTCCACAAACAGAGTTATTTTCAAAGTTATATCATTACAAAAAATTTTCAGTGTTTAAAAATTGCCATTTAGATGTGAAACACTTTAACAGGGTCACTTGTTTTTACAGGTAAAATTCCGATGAGACCAACCAAAAATATCCGATGTGTATTTTTACAGGTTCAAACTGCAAAAGCTTAGCATTGGGAGAATTTTAGATCTGATCTTGATAAGAACTTTCTTCCTATATCCTTAACCCTTTGACTCCCAAGATCTCATTAGTAATTCTCCTTACTGACTACCGTATAATTCTTATGATTTTAGTTCAGAGAATTTGTTACTGGATCAACTGATAATCCCCTAATTGATATTTCTCGTTATTCTTATCACTTGTCTGCTTGAAATTACATGGATATTGTGGGGAAAAATTCTGTCTTGCTCATTCATGGGAGTTAAAGGGTTAAACTAAATTGAGTTAAGTGCGCATGTGTGCATAATTCTGCTATGAACTATGAACATTTTGCGGGTTTCAATTTTTCGTGTCGCACTCGTTCCGCAATAATAAATTCTCGCGAAAACAAAGTCTCGCTTAGAAAACTCCTTCAGAAGTTTACCACTATATAAGTTGAAGGGAAATCTTGGTAATCTTCATGATCGCATTCTGTCGAAATATCCATAAACAAATCGTCTACTGCGTCTGCCCTCTGCTTATCTGGAAAAGTCAGAAGTTTGAAACCGTAACTTTTTCATTTTAATACTCTACTGCTTGAGCAGAAAACTGCAAAAAATTGTTTTTAGGGAAAACTTCTGTCGACTTGAACCGCAAAGAATCTGTCCCTACCACATAAAAAACATGAAGACGTTAGTAATGGAACAATATTGATTCCTCACAGCAGACTCAATGTGTTTTCTTTCTGTCCTCGTATTTCCAGGGAAAGGTAACGCTATGAAGCTGCTGTTGATTTCAGTATTACTGAGCTTCATTACCAATATATTCACAGGTAAAGTTTTAACGCTTTCACTCCGAAGATCTCATTTGTAAATCTCCTTACTTTCTGCCACACAACTTTTACGTTGTTGGTTTGGAGAACTTGGTATTGAATGAACTTATAATACCCTGAGACTTATGCCCTTTGATACTTTCTTTTTTCTGTGCTATTGACACAAGTTGAGTTTCGAAATCTTTTTGCTTTTGAAAGAATCACCAACTGATCCAGAAGTTGCAGGAAATGCTCCAATTGTGCTCCCTACTGGAAGTAAGTTGAAATAAAGTATTTGCAGCAGTGATATAGAGACACTAGCAACCGTAAACAACATATTTGAGATGTCTGCTGTATATGTAAAGAAATATCTGTCTTTAATCGTTGAGTTCTTACTGACTGATTGACTGACTGCCTTGTTGTCAGACTTAAGGGCTGACCTATTGACCAGCGACTGACTGGCTGTCTCGCTGTCACACAGACAGACAGACAGACTGACTGACTGCCCTACTGTCAGACTGTCTCGCTATAAGACTTACGGACTGACTTAGTGACCGGCTATAGATTAATTATAAAAGTCTCACTGTCAGACCGGACAGACTGATCGACGACTGACTGACCGACTGACTGTCTGTCTTTCTGTAAAATTGGTTAATTGACTGTCTGATTGCCGGAACTGGTTTTCAATTTTTACCAATTCTTCCTAAATTCTCCGCTTAACGTTTTGATGTAGTCGAGGGCTGACAGACCTTCCTCCAACAGCATTCTCTCAACAAGAAGTAAACGGCCTGAAAGAACACAATCGGTTCCGTGCGATACATGATGCGCCGCCCATGACACTTGATCGTGAGATGTGCAATTCCGCTGCCCAGTGGGCCAAATACATCGCAGAACAAGGCTCTCTTGAACATTCAACTGAAGATCAAAGACCTGAACAAGGAGAGAACCTGTCGATGGGATGTTCCTCAGACAAGGCTCAAACAGTAAAGGAGGCTGTTGCAAACTGGTAATTTGAGTACAGTTCATAAAATGTCTGCTTAAAAAAACCGGTCTATATCGCAGTGGTATATCTAAGGACAGGTACGACTACGCTTATTACACCAAAACCTGGAACACGGCCGAGATTGTTTTTAAGAGACCCTCTCCTCATTATTTACTAGTAATTATTGTTTGACAAGGGCAAACACGATGATGAGGCCGAGCGAAAACCAAAATTGAATGGCAAAATTTAAGATGGGATTTCAGTTTTCATTCATCGTAATTGTAGGTATAACGAGGTTTGTAACCCCGGCTACTATGGATTAGGTGAGTTAGAGACTGGGCCTGATGAAGCAGGGCACTTCTCGCAGGTGGTGTGGAAAGAGAGTACCAAGCTTGGAATCGGACGTGCAGAGATTGAACAAAATGGTATGAAATGTGCTTACATCGTTGGCAGATACAATCCGCCCGGAAATGTTCAAGAATCCTATAAACAGAATGTTCTCAAAGGGTCTTTTAACCGAGAAGTCTACTGCCCAACAGCTGTGAAAAAAGATGTGATGAGAGCGGATTAACTCGATCAGAACTATCAAGAGAAAATAGCGGAGTCCAATTAATTTCCATTACTGCCACTTATAATCATTCGATTGTGCGATAATAAAACGACCAGTGAAGCTTCGAAATCACACCTGCTCCCAAATTGAATGGAACGATGGCGAAGAAAATCACAATCTACCTCTGAAAAAATTCCTGGCCAAACCTTGTCAAGGCCCCCCAACGGACTTGTGGTTACTTGATGACAAATGATAGTAGTTTGAGAGCGCAGCAAATCCAAACCCGAGGAAACTTCTTTTATATATTTGGTAATAAAAATGACTTGTGATTTATTTATAATGGTAGTTGAACTGAATGGAGTACAATTTGGGCTGGAATTATACGCGTGATTTCAAAGTCGAACGAGCGCGCAGCGCAAGTTCGATTTGAAATCACAAATATGATTCCATACCAAAATTGCACGACACGAGGTTCAATTACCACTTTATTACATCCATTTTGAAATTGCCCAAATACAGGACTTGGTCAGTTCAAACATTTTATTGATGCAGTACTGAGCCGGTCTGAAATTAAATTCATGTCCATTTTTTTTTTTTTTTTTTGGGGGGGGGGGGGAAGTAAGAGTTAAGAAACAAAAGTTGCAAAATTTGCCACATGATAATCTTTGTCTTTCATTTTCCTGCAACTTTTGTTTGAACGGTTACTTTAAACAAACCTTAAAATCTGATTGGTTGTTTTGTTTTTAGTGTAGCTTCCTCATTGGGGAGGAAAAAGATGCGATTTAAAGCAAAAAATGGTGCGATTCGTGAATAAATCGCATCAATTAGAGCCAATCAGATTACAGGGACCATCAGTGATTTCAAAATGGGTGTAATAAATTCATTAATTTATTAACTGTTTATGTGCAATTTAGAATAATTTCTGATCTTTGTCTTTCCGCTACTTTCTTTAGGACGGCTAGTAAAGACTCTTACTCTATGTCATTTCTTGCAATGAAGAATTACGTTTGAGACATCATTTAGGTTTTATGTTTTAGTAATTCTTTCCGGTTAGATGTGATAACCCTTTGATTCAATGCATTTTTCATTCCCATTCTCCCTATTTCTCCGTTTCACACTGTTTTGACCGGGGGAATAAGCGCGTTTTTGCTGTAAAACAGTTATTTTTTAGCACAAAATTGCAGGCACAGTTGAGTGATCGCAGTATTCCTCATAATTCCGTATGTTGCGTTACTCTGTTTCATTCATGTCCGTTGGGCCCAAACCGCTAAAAAATCCAGTTGACACGTAGTAATCCACGCAGTCTCTTTTTAAGGCCATATCTAAACATAAATATTAAAAGTTACCACATCTTGACACAAAACCTCCTGCACAACTACAGCGAAAAAGGCAAATCATCAGTCGGTGAGAGTCGGTGAGGGGTTCCGGAAAACGGAAACAAAGACCAACACGTGGATTGTAATTAATGCGTGACTGATACGATAATTATAATAAAACAAAGGTAATGCCTAATCCAAGACTCTGCAAACGAAGATGGGACAAACAAAAACTAATTCAGTGTGTATAATACAAAACTTTGGAATTAAAAGAACTAATCAAGCCAAGTGGCCTGTGTAGATGAAATTAAAAACAAAAATCGTTGCGTGACTGGAGGCCAAAGAACACGAAACCCTCAAGCATGATTCGCGATCTCGTGACCAAAATTGCGTCATTTTACTGACTTGAAAGGGAAACGACGAGGTTCGTAACTCGCTTCTCTACCGAAATGCTTTTGAAATTTCTGCTTGCAGGCGTTTTTGTCAACTCTGTAACTGCAAATCTTTTGCCGATCTCCGTGAACCCAGCCAGACAACAGCTCGTGGATAGTTTGGGTCGCGAGGTCTTCTTTCACGGCACAAACGTTGTCGTGAAGTCATTCCCGTGGCATCCTGAAATCGAAGGCTTCAGCGATGGAACGTTCTCCGAACAAGACATGGAACTTCTGCAATCGCTTGGCCTGAATATTGTTCGCCTTGGCTTCATGTGGCCAGGACTAGAGCCAACGAGAGGGATATACAATGAAACCTATATGCAAGTTATGCAGCGAATTGTTTCGCTTTCCGCAAAATACGGCATTTACGTCCTATTAGACATGCATCAGGATGCATTCTCCAGAATGCTGTGCGTGGAAGGCTTACCGACCTGGGCAGTGAATACAGGGTACGCCAAAGGATTCCCTGAACCGCTTCATGAGCCTTTTGTTCCCGACCCGAAGACGGGAATGCCGTCTGATAAGGATTGCGCAAAGTTTGCGTGGTCAGATTACTATTTGACCGAAGCTACCAGTGTTGCTTTCCAAAATTTGTATAACAATACCGATGGTTTGTTGGATAGCTGGGCGGCCTTCTGGGCTAAAACTGCCTTGGGGTTTAAAAGTTTCTCCAATGTTATTGGCTACGAGCTTATCAATGAGCCCTGGGCCGGGGACATCTACGCAAATCCGCTGCTTATTGTTCCAAAAGTAGCAGATAAAATGAACTTAGCTCCCGTCTACGAAGTTCTGAGTAAAGCTATCCGACAGCACGATGAAGAACACTGCATCTTCTTCGAAGGAATAACTTGGGATGACTTTGGCGTCGGTTTCGACACCGTACCAGGCGGAGAGTTGTATCGAAACAGGAGCGTACTCAGCTATCATTACTACATCCCCCCTTCTCTAGCCCTGATCGAAAATTTCGGGGCGCGGAAAAAAGATCTAGAGAGGTTAAAATGCGGAGGAATGATGACGGAGTTTCTGACCAGTGCAGGAGAGATTGACCCTATGTTTAAAACCATGGACGCTGCTGATATGTACCTTCAGTCGTGGATTGGGTGGGACTATAAAGCGTACCACCCCTCCCGTCCTAACCTGAAAGGAAACAGGCGCTCTGCTTTGTGGAATGGGACAGGACTCGATCAAATTTATGTTCAAAACACAACTCGTACTTATCCCCAGGCCGTCGCAGGATATACTGTTAAATTCAGATTTGATTTGACCTCGAAAGAATTTTTTTTAGTTTATGAAGTATCTGAAACGTGTCACGCAACCGAATCTGTGGTATATTTGAACGAAGAGGTTCACTACCCATCCGGTTATACCGTGGCTGTCACGCCATCCTCTGTGAAATGGTCCTCCGAGACAAAAAACATGCTCACTTTTAATCATCCTACATCTTTGCCGGTTGGGTCTATTGTGGCGATCACAATTAACAAAAAATGAAACGGAGAAAATACAATATGAACATAACAATTATCTCATCAGTTTTCTGAGATGTTGACAATATGACCAGTTCACAGGTGTGATTAATCAGAAATTAAAAGACTAAATTCGACTGCAAATTATTATAGGGTTTTAGAATGACTCGTTCTTACGTTGTAAAATGCGTTTGTCTTCGAAAACCCTTCGACTCTTTACAACAGACAATTTTTCACACATTCATCCTGAAAAAAATCACTCTCATCTGTTGCTAAAGGACAACCAAACCGATGCCTAGTCCCTCACTCAATTAATTTCATTCTCTTGTTAGTTACTGCAGCAATGTTGGTACACACTGTAGTAGTCATAGTAATTTAAGAGGGTGGGGGAGTCGGTGAGGTGCCTTTCTTTCCCCTCAACCTCAATTAATAAACTTGGAGATCATCCTTGGGCCTTTCTTCCCATATCAGCCCGTTCACGTACTGTAGCCATACTTTTCCTGAGAATGATCCCACATCCGAACCCTTAATGCACTTCGCACAACCGTGTGGACGCTACTTACTTCTTTCCCAAACTTTCAACATATCTTGTCTCACTAGGCCCACTCCCACGTTGCATGACAAGATCAAACAACGGCTGTGAAGGATACCCGGAGCCTACTCAGTAATACTGGAGACGACAATTGCCCATGTTTTTGATGGCAGCATTTGTCATTGTGCAAGTTCCCGTTTTAAAATTTTGCATTTTATTGTGTGCTAACTACGAAAATTATCATTTGTAGTATTAACGAAATAGCTAGTCTTTGTGAGGCTTGTCCTCTTCTCCCTGGTCTTCGTATGACACACCAAACTCGTTGACTCTCTTCATATCGACTGGGTACAACCTGCAGACCAATATGCTTTGAATTTTACTTTCAACTAAGCTGAGTCATATGTAGGGCTGACCCTCAGCTTAAAGGGGTTTACAATATATGATTTCGGGAAGAAATACAAACGCAAAAGATGCAAAAGTAATCCAACAGGAAACAAAGATTAAGGAAATATTAGAAGAGTGCTTACCATCTCTGGTAGAAGTAGATGACGAAAACAACGTCGTCTCTGAAACAGGCCAGACGGTGGGCGGTTGGCATCACGATAATGAAAGCAAACACATCATCGATGAATGTGTTGAACGCCTGTAATATGTAATCAAACATAACTTTAGCTATAAACAATGTTTGCAATCAAATGAGAGACGGTGAAGAGAAGGGAGTGACAAGGGAAATGAATGAAGAAAGCAAGCAATAAAAATAAACCTGGGAGGTAGTGGGTGAAACGGAAGTAGTAGGATGAAAAAAAAAGAGTCGACTTTTCTAAAATAAATACGAAGACAAAGATTCTATTTCAAGGGTCCAGAGAGCGATGCCGCCAGAGATGAGCCGGAGAAATTGATAGGATAAGTTTCGAAACTACAAGAAGTGATTGACGTTTAATTTCTCCCTTGGCAATACTCAAATTAATCGTGTAAGAGTTGTTATCTTAATCTAACACCAAATTCTCCACACTTATTTATAAGGAAGTGTTTAGCAGCTAGAGGGGAGAATCAAATATCATATTCTGGCTATACTAACCATTGACAAGACTGCGCACAATCCAGGAATACCAACTACATGGAGAAATAGGCAAAGACAAATCATTTAAACCTTAAACTCGCAGGAGTGACTAGCATCTAATTTCTCCAGTCAGTTTCAACGCCGGAAAGTGATGAGGTCACTTGTTGCTGCATATTTCTTAGCAGGGGTTGATGAAGTTGTTGACACTCCATTGAATCGTACAGCAAGCTGCCAATGTGCTCTTTGATCATTGCGACTTTTTCAGCTTTCTCCCTTTTGAAGGTGATCTTGTGATGGGAAAACTACAAGGATATTTCGTCCACCCTCAAGGACGACAGCTTATCGAAGTTGTACAGTACAACCCGGTCAACGTCGTCGTACTTCCAGTTTAGCCGTTCCACTCGCTCCCTTTCAGTCTCCTCTTTCTTCTTCTCCTTGCGCATTTTTATCTGGGCAAGGTGCTCGACATATTCTGCCACAAGCTTTTCGGGGAAAATGTATTTATCTGAAAACTTTCTAATAGCCTCACTGTCGCCACTGACTAGTTCACTTTCCTCAAACAATCGCTTAATCTGAGCTCGAGGCTGGAAGTCGTCCGGCTCACGGCCATCGGTGGGGGTTGCACTCCAAGAGAGATAATGGAAGTTTGGTAGCTTGCCATAGTTGGGATATGATCGCCGAGTTGGAAGTGGAGCGCTGGTAGTCTCATCCTTCTCGCAAAATTTACATAGTTGGCCATTTCGCTTTTGACACGATATTCGCTTATACTCCACATATGGCTCTCCTTTCTCACAACAGAGGCTCTCAAATTGTTCTAGCTTGGAAAAATATCCATGCCCCGGAAAAGAACTCTTTTGATTGTTGGTGACTCTAAGATACTCATGGTTGTAGAAAAATTGATTTTCTGGTCGGTCGACAGAAAATGCTGGAATATACCCTCGTGGCACTGGGGAGTCGTCAATTCGAAGACACACTTCCTCAGCAACAGCCCACGCATTTTTTCCATGACTTTACTGCTATGTGCGTCTAGCTCTGACGTTGAAAGAGACTTAACTTCTTCTTCAGAAAGTCCATGCAAGCGGTTATTTGAGTAACACTTCCGGTTAGTTATTTCACTTCCTGTTATTTTTGTCTTGGAGGAGGTGGGGGGAGGGTCAGGTGTTTTTGTGTCGGTATTTGTGAAGGGTCATGCACCAATCCATTCTGGGATGTGGGAGGGCCACGACTTTTTTGCAAAAAAATTCTAAAATACCCCGACCCACCCCCCCCCCTCCAATAAAAAAACGTACCTTCCCTTAGCATCGCCATTCCGTCTTACGGATGGATAGCATTTCTGTCCTATGATGTGAAGAGTTCCTTGTCTAAATTTTACAAAGCTCGTTTGCATAGCCCTGTTGACAAAATTTCAGCAATCAGACAAAATCTCTAAGCAAGAGATATCCACTGTGCTTATGAGATCATCTTCCTAACTTCTGACGGTGGGCGTATCAAAGCAATTCCGTTTGCAGAAGGGGCAATCAACATCTTCTCTCAGCCGAAAAAAAGTACGATTTCATCAACCTTGCCAATCGACTCCAACTGCCATTCGTGAGGACTGTTAGAGAAATAAAGGAGAGGCTAAAGATCTACTCTTCATCCCCCAAATCAACAGATATTCTAGATAACATAAAGGCTAATGAAATTGAAAGACAGCCATCCTTTGAAAGTATGCTGTGCGCCGACGATGAACTGATATACGCTGCGAGAAAGGACATCCAAGTGATTGTCCCTTTTCAAGTGGAAAAGGATGGCGTTGGGCAGAGAGGGGTAAAGGGGTACAGCATGTTTCTGCATATATGATGCATTTTCCTGTCAAATTGGGAGGGAATCAGGAAATGTTCTTTGGAAGTAGTTCAAGTGAAAGATGAGCCATGCATGTTGACATGTAGCGCTTTCCCTTGTGCGCCAGCGTAAAGAGCTTGTAGAGAGGAACACCAGCGAGATCCAAATGAGTACTGGCATTACAAGCGCTATAATGGACCTCAGGGTCATGTTTCCGCCAGGACCGTGGCCTCAGTTGCACCTCTTGAATGGGGGCTGCAGAAGATTGTGCAGCAATTTGCAACCATTCAACTTAAAAGTTGTATGACACTGGACGTAGAGAATTGCCATTCCACTGTTCATATCAAACAGGTGAATATGTCCATGATGGAGTATGCTAGATCCTTTGAATTTACCATGAAAGAATCGGTCGAGAAGGCGACACAATGGGCCGCGTTTCATCATACAAGCAGGAAGTATGGTTCCCAAAACCAAAGGAGACCATACCATTCTCTAAAGTCCCTTTGATAAAGCCACTTCCCATCGTTGATATGTCTAAAGCAAATTGCGATATTATGCGGAATTGAGCTTCGGCGTATGGAGCAGCAGTGCGACAGCGGACAGTGCGCCAAGAGACGACCATGGCAAAGCATGGCAATCTCCCTGAGTTTATATGCCAATCACAGCTATTGTTAAACCAATGAATGAAAGCGGACCACCCGCTTCTTTATAAGATGAAGCACAACCAGTCGACATCATCGTTGACCACATTGATAGACATGATAAACTTAGCTGCTACAGTGTTAGTCACGACGATGACTAACCGTATACCTTTTTCTATGAAATAGAAAATAGATTTGAAACAAAAAAACTAGACAAAGAAAGTCGTGAGATCAAAGGAAGCAAACTGTGAACTTCACTTTTTGTGGGAATGTATTCTAACCTCAGAGGACGCAAGACTGACCTAACGGAAACACTGTCGTATCAGTTGGCAGCAGTAACTTCTTTGGCTCATCTTAGTGTCGCCTAATGAAGTGTAGGCGACAGCAAGGAATTTACATGTGGAGACTTCGGTAGGAATGTCTTGTGATGTGTTTCTTGTGTTTGAAAAGTAGAAGTAACGGTGATGACGTTTTTTTTGAAAAATAAATTAGACCAGGTAAATCTTGCGGTGTCGGTGTGTTGACAATATTTATTGCGGTGATGCGGTATTTGTTCTATTTTGTTTGCGGTGTTGCGGTATTCAGAACCCCCCATGCCCCCCTCAACAAAGATTGTCAGTTTCAATGCCATAAACTGAAAACAAAAAAACCAAAAACGAATCGTAATCCGTTTTCAAAATTCCACACTAAAACGAAAAACGAAAATAAAATTTGAGTTTCCTTCTCCTACACAGTTGAAAATCGGTTGGCACTAAGGTACACGGATTGGAGAACATAAAGTGAATTCGAATTCTGTTTCCTTCCCGGCGGGGAAAAAATGAAAAACGAAAATGGCAGTCCAATTTCGTTTTTTTACTGCAAAGAAAAACGAAAAACGAAAATAAAATTTGTTTCATTTTCCTATACAATTGAAAATCGGTTGGCACTAAGGTACACGGATTGTTTAGCCTTGGGCTTTTCTTATGCAAGTTCTTCTCTTACAATTAATAATTGCCAGGCGTATCTCAGATCCACCTCAGCCTCATTTGCATAAATTCTTTTGGTGAGCAAAGTTCGTCATGATCTCGAAATTGGTAACTCGCTAAAAAGCGTTCTTTTCATCAAAGTAAGCGGTCAGATAACAAGTGATACGCTGTGGAAGTAAGGTGAGATATTTTTATTAAGAATTCGACGTATTGTTTTATTCCTTACAACGGTCGTAAATATACCCACACAAACTCTTATAATTCCGCCATGACTATTATTGTGCAAAGTGATCATCTCACAGCTGGAGCTTGGGCCGCCAAGTGGACCTTGTCGAAAAGACGCACGGACTATAGAATACTCGATCGACCTTGTCGAAAACACGAGCTTGCAGAATCCACACACTCTGGTCCTTCGTGCGATTTCACTTGTGATTGGTCGAAATTAAACGCGTGACAGACTCCATAGCAACACAGATTAAGCACACGTGGGTCGCTCCTTACGATTTCAAATGTGATTGGTTGGAATTGGCCTGACCACTCCCTTCGGCATAACGGATTACTTATTGATTAGCGATTGAAACATGATTCGCGATCTCGTGACCAAAATTGCGTCATTTTACTGACTTGAAAGGGAAACGACGAGGTTCGTAACTCGCTTCTCTACCGAAATGCTTTTGAAACTTCTGCTTGCAGGCGTTTTTGTCAACTCTGTGACTGCAAATCTTTTGCCGATCTCCGTGAACCCAGCCAGACAACAGCTCGTGGATAGTTTGGGTCGCGAGGTCTTCTTTCACGGCACAAACGTTGTTGTGAAGTCATTCCCGTGGCATCCTGAAACCGAAGGCTTCAGCGATGGAACGTTCTCCGAACAAGACATGGAACTTCTGCAATCGCTTGGCCTGAATGTTGTTCGCCTTGGCTTCATGTGGCCAGGACTAGAGCCAACGAGAGGGATATACAATGAAACCTATATGCAAGTTATGCAGCGAATTGTTTCGCTTTCCGCAAATTACGGTATTTACGTCCTATTAGACATGCATCAGGATGCATTCTCCAGAATGCTGTGCGTGGAAGGCTTACCGACCTGGGCAGTGAATACAGGGAACGCCAAAGGATTCCCTGAACCGCTTCATGAGCCTTTTGTTCCCGACCCGAAGACAGGAATGCCGTCTGATGAGGATTGCGCAAAGTTTGCGTGGTCAGATTACTATTTTACCGAAGCTACCAGCGCTGCTTTCCAAAATTTGTATAACAATACCGACGATTTGTTGAATAGCTGGGCCGCCTTCTGGGCTGAAACTGCCTTGGGGTTTAAAAGTTTCTCCAATGTTATTGGCTACGAGCTTATCAATGAGCCCTGGGCCGGGGACATCTACGCAAATCCGCTGCTTCTTGTTCCAAAAGTAGCAGATAAAATGAACTTAGCACCCGTCTACGAAGTTCTAAGTAAAGCTATCCGACAGTACGATGAAGAACACTGCATCTTCTTCGAAGGAGTAACTTGGGATGACTTTGGCGTCGGTTTCGACACCGTACCAGGCGGAGAGGTGTATCGAAACAGGAGCGTACTCAGCTATCATTACTACAGCCCCCCTTCTTTATCCCTGATCTTAACTTTTGAGGCGCGGAAAAAAGATCAAGAGAGGTTAAAATGCGGAGGAATGATGACGGAGTTTTTTACCAGCGCTGGAGAGATTGAGCCTATGGTTAAAGCCATGGATGCTGCTGATATGTACCTTCAGTCGTGGATTGGGTGGGAATATAAAGCGTACCACCCCTCCCGTCCTGACCTGAAAGGAAACAGGCGCTCTGCTCTGTGGAATGGGACAGGACTCGATCAAATTTATGTTCAAAACACAACTCGTACTTATCCTCAGGCCGTCGCAGGATATACTGTAAAATTCAGATTTGATTTGTCCTCGAAAGAATTTGTTTTAGTTTATGAAGTATCTGAAACGTGTCACGCAACCAAATCTGTGGTATATTTGAACGAAGAGGTTCACTACCCATCCGGTTATACCGTGGCTGTCACGCCATCCTCTGTGGAATGGTCCTCCGAGACGAAAAACATGCTCACTTTTACTCATCCTACATCTTTGCCGGTTGGGTCTAACGTGGCGATCACAATTAACAAAAAATGAAACAGAGAAAATTCAGTATAAACAATAATCAAGCAATGGTCAATCAATCAATAATCTCATCAGTTTTCTGAGATGTTGACAATGAGACCAGTTCACAATTATGATTAAACAGAAAATAAAAGGCTAAATTCAACTGCAAATTATTTTAGGGTTTTACAATGACTCATTCTTACGTCGTAAAATGCGTTTGTGTTCGAAAAACCGTTCAACTCTTTGCCACAGACAATGTTTCACATATTCATCCTGAAAAATCACTCCCGTCTTTTGCCAAAAGACAACCAAACCGATTTGTTATCTTATAACCAGTCCCTCACTCAATTAATTTCATTCTCATGATAGTTGCTGTAGCAGTGTTGGTAAACACTGTAGTAGTCATAGCAATGATAAAGGGGCGGGGGAGGGCGGAGTAGTGGGTGAAGTACCTCTCTTTCCGCTCAACCAAGTCTGCTTGGAGATCATCCTTGTTGTAGGGCTTCACCTCAGGCCTTTCTTCTCATGTCAGCCCGTGCACGTACTGTAGCCATACTTCCCCTGAGAATGATCCCACATCCGAACCCTTAATGCACTTCGCACAACCGTGTGGACGCTACTTGCTATTTTCCCAGTCTTTCTTATATCTCGTCACACTAGACCCACTCCTACGTTGCATGACAAGATCAAACAACGGCTGTGAAGGATACCCGGAGCTTACTCAGCGATACTGAAGACGATGATTGCCCATGTTTTTAATGGCAGCATTTGTCATGGTGCAAGTTCCCGTTTTAAAATTTTGCATTTTATTTTGTGCTAACTACGAGAATTATCATTTGTAGTATTAACGAAATAACTAGTCTTTGTGAGGCTTGTCCTCTTCTCCCTGGTCTTCGTATGACACACCAAACTCGTTGACTCTCTTCATATCGACTGGGTACAACCTGCAGACCAATATGCTTTGAATTTTAGTTTCAACTAAGCTGAGTCATATGCAGAGCTGACCCTCAGCTTAAAGGGGTTTACAATATATGACTTCGGGAAGAAATACAAACGCAAAAGATGCAAAAGTAATCCAAGAGGAAGCAAGGATAAAGGAGATATTAGAGGAGTGCTTACCATCTCTGGTAGAGGTAAATAACGAAAACAACGTCGTCTCTGAAACAGGCCAGACGGTGGGCGGTTGGCATCACGATAATGAAAGCAAACACATCATCGATGAATGTGTTGAACGCCTGTAATATGTAATCAAACATAACTTTAGCTATAAACAATGTTTGCAATCGAATGAGAGACGGTGAAGAGAAGGGAAATGACAAGGGAAATGAATGAAGAAAGCAAGCAATAAAAATAAACCTGGGAGGTAGTGGGTGAAACGGAAGTAGTAGGATGAAAAAAAAAAGAGTCGACTTTTCTAAAAAAAATACGAAGACAAAGATTCTATTTCAAGGGTCCAGAGAGCGATGCCGCCAGAGATGAGCCGGAGAAATTGATAGGATAAGCTTCGAGATAACTTTTTCGACGACACTTGTTGCCGCAACTTTTAGCTTTGGATACTTTGAAGAGTTTCAGTCAGGGAAAGAAAAACACCTGAACAGGCTTGGGGCTTGGGGCATCTAGCACCTCATGAAACTGCAGGAAAGGAACGAATCATTAATTCCACGGGAGAATTCTACCGCAACTGCAGAAAAAAGTGCCCCAGAGAACATTAAGACTTTACAATTTATTATTCAATCGTTGTCTGCAGGCCACAACAAACAAAACGAAGTACCTTGTACATAAAAGCTCTCCAAGGTAGATGTGCCACGGACTTAAGCTGAAAGAAAGAATTATGACGATCAGTAATATTCCTGATTGATTTCCACTGCCAATAATTCAATTCATGGCCGGCTCGTCTTGATCATGTAAGATCCTGCGAAAGTCTCGCTGCTCCTATATATTTATGACAAATTTTCAATTTTCACTTAGTCGGAAGACCTATGGTTTTTACTTCGCTATGCTCTGCGGTTGGTCTCCGAAAATTCCGCTACTTTTCCAAGCATTCGGATGCAAAGACCAACCACACTTGCTCCTACTTTGTCACAGTAAAAAGAATGCCCTCTCTTTTCCTACCTACCTTGTAGTTTACAAACAGCTGAGGCAACATGAACAAGAAACCAAACACATAGACGCCTACAAGGAAGACAAACAAGACGCTATCAACAAACATAATAAAAAATACCCTTGTTAGAAGTTGTTGTGAGCTTTTTAGGGAACCCCAGGTCAAATGGAGTTTAATACGTCTCCCAAAACAACTCAGACTACCGAGACGTAGTCACTAAATGAGACTTAACCCTTAAACTACAAGAAGTGATTGGCGTTTAACTTCTCCCTTGGCAATGCTCAAATTAATCGTGTAAGAGTTGTTATCTTAATCTAACACCAAATTCTCCACACTTATTTATAAGGAAGTGTTTAGCAGCTAGACGGGAGAATCAAATATCATATTCTGGCTATACTAACCATTGACAAGACTACGCACAATCCAGGAATACCAACTACATGGAGAAATAAGCAAAGTCAAATCATTTAAACCTTTAACTCACGGGAGTGACTAGCATCTAATTTCTCCTCACAATATCACCCCTGAAACAAACATTTAGGTCACAAGAATTAAGGAAACGATCAACGAAAGAAGCCCTCGATTATTACACAAATTCTCACTGTTAGCACCTTACAAAATTTATAGAGAACAGTACGGAGAATATGCATAATGATGTTAGGGTGTGAAGCGTTAATACGTAAAATTAGACAAGTCCAATACACATTTACTGTTTTCAAAGATCGACGAGGTCTCCACAAAAATTAAACTTGATTCATTCACCCCTGGCATTTAACAATCCACTTCCCTTTTTTCACTCTACCTTTTTTGTGGTTGGTACAGAAGTGAATATACAGCTACAGCTATCACCAGAGGGTATAGTGCATAAGAAATGTAACGCATGGCCTGAAAAACAAAGCAAAACAAAACAAGAGAAAATAATGAAACAATGCAGCCATCTGTGAAACTCCTGGTATCACATACTGTGTCTATAGCGTTCTAGTTGGTCCATCAAATCTCAATTATCAGCTCACATGCCACAGCTTGACCTAAAATATAAACTAACAATATTTAACATTATTTCTGTGGATGTACAAAGGTAAGATCACGCTCTTGGTCCCTATACGGCTTCCGGAGCTTATCCCGCTTTCTATAGCATGACACGAGAAGACGTATTCATTTTACTTCTTCTGGATGGGATTCTAATCACTGTTGTCCTTGGGAAGTCACGCAAAGTCCCCTCGGTGGATTGGGGAGAGCGACGCGTGACAGCCAAGAGTACAGCTGCGAAGACAACTAGTGGATCGCTAAGTTATATCAACACTTATTTGGAAATTGGAAAACTACATGTAAGTGCGTGTAGACAATTCTTCATACCTGTACTTCACTGTATGATATTCATCGTTCTGCCTTACCTCGCTGTCAAACTCCTCAGTTTCTTTCTCTTTAGAAGTCCGTTGTCCAAACTTCGAGAGAAAAGAAAAGGTCGCAATGAGAACTAACTCTATCTGCCGAAATTAAGTTTTACTAAGGAAAGAACGTTAACTGGCGTTATTTCTTTAATTTACATTCACGTTGTATAAATCGTATTATCCAACCTCTAAATTATTACAAGTGCTTTGATTGGTCCACTTAGCGGGCCGTGCATTACTGTGTGTGTGCCCGATAAAATTTCAGGTCTTTTTCAGTTGCCAAAATCTCTTGTTATTTTTACCAATTAGTGTCCACTTTAGTGGGCGGATGAAAGGGAAGAGAGTGTGCAAAGAGTCAGTCTTCATTTATTCACCTGTACAGAAGGTCTTGCACCTTTCTCCCATTTGATGTTGACTTTGAATGCTTTGGTAACCTTCCAAACCTTCATGAAAAGAAGATAAGGAAGCGAAACCAGTTAGTATCTAAAAGGAAAAAACTTCGTAGCTTATGCTCATTAGATCTTGACGCTAGAGGGAAACTTAATTTATACCCGCACTCTAGGCTCGATAACCAGCCGCTGTCTTCAAGTTGCGAATTTACCTTTAAAGGTTGAAAGAAGGTACATTAAGTAATCGAAGACAAAATAACTTGAGAAGATTTGTATTTCAACGGGGATTGAACCGAACATGCCAAGTATAGGTCTAGGGGGCACTGCTACCAACACCGCTATGAAGCCACTTGTTGGAAACAAGGAAAATTTTTTTGAGTTGTTTGTCTTCCCTAAAGGAATGAGATCACAGCTAGTAAACATTAAAATATCGTTATGTCACATTATGTTATGCATATTTTTCTGTCAGCTAACTGCAAGTAGTTGTGTAATTAATCATTTAATCAAAAACGTATAAAAATTTGAATTCAGACTGATGAAAGAGCTCGGTGAAAGAGAAGTTAGGGATTCAAAATGCAATGAGTTCAAGACACGAGTTTATTAGGCAACTCGTGCAATAAAAATGGCTTAGGTTCCAACTAGCCTGCGGAACGTGAGCGCTCTCTCTGGTGTTTTTAAGTAAACGGAGGCAAACGCTAGGCGCACGCGCTTTACACGCGTGCCTTTCACGCTTGCCTCGGATTTGCCTCATGATAAATCAAATACTTACTTCAATGAGTACACCGATCCCGGCTGGGATAAGAACAAGTAGACTTGTTTGCTCGTCCATCAGGTACAAGAAGATTATAAATGTGCTCACACATCGCCAAATGACTGGAAAGGGATAGAAACCATCAACATCGTAATAACACAGCATTTGCAAAAAATTTTTATCACTTTACTTTATTAAAATACTTTGAGGCTACTGTGAGGACAGTGCTATAAACAACGATCTTGTTTGGCACTAACACCTATCAGGTGCTACTTCCCGAGTATGCATGTGGAAATAATACAGCCATCAACTATTCATTGATTGTTTTATCTAGACAAATGTGTCAAATAAGCGACAATGGCACAAATTGCCCAATTTTCTGTCTACAAGTACTATGCTAAGCAAAACTTTCCTCGCCCAAGCTTGTCAAGAATAGATGATTCCTTACCGGTTCTCATTGATAAGCCAACCATGCTGTCCCTGTGTTTCCAGTAATTTATATCATTCTTAAAGGCTAAAAAGTCAAACAG